CCCCTTCTTAACAATGTTCTTGACAGCTAATATGTTTGATTTGGAGAATGGACTCAATATTTTGTCATGAGTAGGCATGGCCAAAATCATTGGAGATTAGTTTTGTTCAAACAGTGATGACAAACCTTCTTTGTGCCAGTAGTTGTTATGAAGACATTAGAGATATCTTCCAGTGTGAGAGGGTTTCCTGCAGACAGTATATCCAAAGTGTTACCTAGATGGGGACTGATATCAAGATGTCGAGAAAAGTAATTGGATGTCGGTTTCAAATTCCATGATGATATATAGATGTTTGGATGTCTGGAGCTAGGTGAGTAAGGAAGCCTTTTAAAAGTTGGTCCATCTAAACAAATTTCAGAAATATCATTTACATACCTAAAATAAACATTTTGATTTCATATGACTGATTACGATAGTTCTTCCTCGAAAGTTGTCATTAATATGTTAGCTTGGAGTGGTGGAAAATGGGAATCCCATGGCAGTTTCTTCAGTTTGAAGATAGCATTTCCTATCGTGCACAAAACACATGGGGCTGACATAGTGTTCTACTACTATCATGGTGCCCTAAATCTATGTCATTCTAGATGTCATTTATTGAATTAGACATTGTGAACTTGATACATAGGGATTTGGTCTGAAAACTGTCAAGAATGTTTCCTCCTGATGAAAATTGTCGAGAAATCTCCAAGCCTGTTTTTAAATTTGAGGTTTATTCATAGTTACTAGAGGTAAAAAACTATTTTAACCTGCCAAGTCACCCTCAGATGCCACTAAAGTTGCATTTTACTTTGTTATATTGGCCCTAACAGCACATTTTAACCTATCTAAATTGGTTACTGTTTTGTAATGATATACTGCAGCAAGTATATGAAGTCGACCACTACTAAAAATCTGAACTCCTAGATTGCATGGTACTTTTCCTCTTTGGTGTGGTACGAGGAGACCTTGATATCAGCAGCATAAAAAAAGGCACCTTTCCCTTTTCCTTTATGTTTCATCATCATTCTTAATTGTTACATGATTAAGAGAAATCGTGTTTCTGTGTAATAACATACTTTTTTTTAAATAACATACTTCTACTGCATTGTGTGGAAAAGGAAGACACACCCTGCATATCATATTGTCACATATTTCAGTGACCACGGATGGGGTTTGGATTGGTAATCGTAATTACTGCATGCTTACAAGTCAGAATTACAAGTAACTATAAGGCTCCACAAATCACTGTGACCTACACTAGTCTTCTCTGTATGTTACAGCCTCCACAGATCATTGCCTGGTTACAGCCTTTTGACAGGGGTTGTTCCTCATGCTCTTACAGCTCAAAAACTGCACTCCCTAACCACCATCTCAAAAGTTAAAGTCAAAGTGAAAGTTTTATTATGACTGACAGTCAGTCTTCATGTCAAGCTCCCATCTGAGGCCCAAGACCAGATTTTTGCTACTGGCGAGAGTTGCAAGTTTCTTGATGTGGGGCACCCTCCCTGATGAGATGCCAGGTCTGTTGTTTACAACTGCTGCTGGCACTCGCCAACACAGTCATTCTCGGATATGGGTCCCATGGGACTTATCATATTTTACTGTCTCATTTGAGACTTCTGCAACCTGGAGGTACAGGTCCCCATATTTATATAGCCCTCAGGCGCAAAGTGGCCCAGTTATTCACCTAGGTACAGGATTCCCTTTTTGTCACCTCCTATTACTCTCAGTGCTGCAGTGGAGATATTCAAACCTGCCTGTACACTGGCTACTACAACTATTCACACAGACTCAACTCAAAGTCAAAGTCCAAGTCAAAGTTATGTTACCACCCACAGTTAGTCAGCCAGTGTCTTGGTGTCAAGCACCAAGAATAAGCATTACCTTATGACTGGCATTTTACCACCACTCAATACGTCTTGGCATATAGTGTATTATAGAAAATTCTTCCTTTTTTACCATATACAAGTTCTCTGTCAGTACAGGTTTTTCAAAGCAGCTCATGCCTATCTTACATATCTTGTTACAATGGCAGCTTAGTCACCTGAATAATCATAAGCTTGATCACTGCCAAGTTTAACCTTTAAGTGCCGAAGTGCCCCGTTTGTGCCAGTGGTGAGTAAGGTCGTCGTGGCCAAAGTACCCCGTTTTGGCCAGTCAGGCATTTAAACTCCGCTAGTGGAAGCGCGCGCACACGCCGCTAGTAGAGGCGCATGCACAGTCCTAAATATTTATTTTTAAATGTATTAATTACCAGATATACTTGAGTAAAACCCTAATAGAGGAATTAAAATAATATCTAAATGAACAACAGCAAATAAAAATATACGTATGAGTTATGCCAAAACTTATCCACGATCCAGTAATTTTATTGCAGATTCTGCAAATAGGTATGTTAAAAATATATTGTAAAATTTGATGTACATACCTTGTTTGTTGTTACCAGCTTGATGTATATATAGGCTGAAATTATACTACAGTATTCAATTTCACTATGAACACACACAAAACAGATCGCACTCTGTATCTCAGCCACGATGCAGCTGTCTGTTCACTCAAATAGAAGGGGCAATAATCTTTTGCAGCTCTAACAGAAGGTCTTAGCACTGAAGAAGGGACCCCTCTAGCTTTCTCTTGAATAGCCATGCTTTCATTCTTCTGTCCTTCAGTCAAAAGATTCGAAAATCCGAAGAGTGTAAGAAGTGCTAGCAGAAGACCAAATGATTTTATTGCTTCCATCTGTTTTATGACACCAGGGACTGCTAAAATTTGTCAAGTGTTACAAACAGAAATGAATTTATAATGCAGAACAACTCTGTGAAGAACTGGGAAACCATTTTTGCAGTACGCATCAAAATTAAAACACAAAAAATTGAAAATAAGAGTATAACACTTTGTATTAAAAATTTCAAATCTTCCGTTATAATATGCGGCACTATGTTCTTTGCTGATATAAAGAAAGTTAATTCCATCCATTTATCATAAAAATTGAGCTAGATACAGCATTTTTAAACACAACGCTTAAAATTGATTAAGCGCCTAACAGGAACGGACATTTAAACGCAGAGTAGCAATGGGCATTTAAACGAGCACCAGCAGCAAGCATTTAAATAAACTCCCGGTCAGCTCAAGCTTACCACTACTTCGAAGTCCGGCATTTAAAAGTTAAGTTTCTTATATTTTTTATGTCTAGCTGCACCTTGTCCTATACCATGAACATGTCTGTTCCCATGATATTGTATAACTTCTGGATGTTGCCTGAACAACTAATTACATACATATAGAAGGTTGAAAGTCGTGTGCAAATTGCTGACCAGTGTGCACCTTGGAAAATTATCAATGCTGCAGAGAACCTTGTTTTGTAAGCACTGTAATTTTAAGATGTATATGTCTGCCAGTAATTCACCAGTGTGGCAGGCATAAGTCATTTCTGATCTGATTAGTGCCTTATGGAGGGTTAGTTTAATACTGGTGCTCAAATGCTCACTTTTGAATAGGGAGCAGATTCTAATAAATGTTCTGAAGGTCTTTGCAAATTTTTCAGATTAACTTTCTCAAATAGTCAAGACGCTAACCGGATGTAAATTTTGAGGAAGTCATTTAAACGGGCATAAGGACAAGGATCTCAGTGTCACTGCATACTTTATATACTTGCTGCACTACAGAAGATCCTTCTGGGCATATGCCATGGAAACCTGCTTAGATGCCACCCCCCAGCAACAGCATTCTCTGCTGGCTTCACAATTCTGGCTTTCAGCAGACATACCACAATAAATAACAGTTTTGCCAATCTGTTTGTGCTCTGTATTTTATGACTGCCTTTAAAATGACTGGTGGGCAATGCAATGACTTTGGATGGAAGCAGCGGTGGCCTAATCAAGGGAGTGTACTTGCATGGTGGGACCAAGGAAAAACACAAAAATCCTGTCAGTTAGGCGATGTCCCAGGCGAAATTCGAACCCAGTACCCCCAAATACAAGTCCCAAACACTTCTACCAAGCTAGCATGTCTGGTGATGTGTTAATATTAACACTACCAAGTTTCAATCTTCAACTGCAATACACATTATTATAGTAAAGTAAAAAGTAAAAAAGTAAAGGCTGCAGACCATAAATTTTCAACACTGCTACTATGACAGCCCAATCGTTCTGCGCTGTGTACACCCTCTATCCGCTCCATCCTCAGGCTTGTCTCTCAAAGATCCAGCTTAATGCTAACCTACATTACCATCGAGAATAAATTAGAACTATATTGTATTTAACATTTTTGAGTATAGATTAATTTATGGATTTTGATAGTCCTGAATGGCAGTGTTCATTCATAAATAGTGCCATTCATGTTGGAACAGGAATAAAGTATTAAGCAATACCGATGCTCAGCATAACATCTGAAGCGTAATCAACCACATCATGTTGGAAATGGTTCTCCGTAGTTTAATTTCATTCTCATGCGGACCTGGAGATCGTCCTAGTTACAGTCACAACTAAGAATTACAGTTTAATTATATTCGGCAGGATAACCGGGACTCACTGACAGAATTGTGAAGAGAAAGTCGTTGCTTCCATAAGCTTGGTACGTGCAAGTTATTTTATTTAATATGGTAGACAGAACTGGCAAGATGGGAAGTTGTGGTTCAAATCACAAACGCCCTAACGCAAAATATTGCTGCAGAAAGTCAGCGGAACCTAAATGATTTGTATTGGTCCAAATCAATCACTTCATTCCACAGGCGAATGACCAATTTGAAACATAGAAGCTTAAAATGACGAAGCCAAATCTTCATCTTCATCTTTATTAACATCCGTAACTGTTACAAAGTAACACATGGACAAGTCATACATGTAGTACAATCATTCGGGAATCCTTTGCCCACGGCCNTTCCGCCGTTCACATGCCAATATCATGCATTTCGCTGTTAATCCATTACGTTGGCTGGTTTGGGTATTTATTCCTGCAAATGTTGGTCAAGATCGTCAAGATGGTTACGTTCGTCTAAATCAACTGCAGTGTTGGTACTTCCGGTGTATGGGTGACAGCTGACTGGTGACATGACTGGTTTAAAGCGAAATTCACTTGAAATTTAAATTTGTTTCTTGTTACGATACTGAGCATTGTGTGAAAATTTGGTAGTGGTGAGAGAAAAATACATAAACATCATTAGAAGCGATTTTAAAACATGAAGTTTCCAGTATTAAAGAACGATCGAATTCTACGAGCAGCACGAGGGGATGATGTAGACAGAGTTCCGATTTGGATAATGCGTCAAGCAGGACGATATCTTCCAGAATTTCGCGAATTGCGATCGAAACATGATTTTTTCACAATATGTCAGACTCCCGAACTTGCTGCTGAGGCGTCCCTACAACCAATTCGAAGATTCGACCTCGATGCATGTATAATATTTTCGGACATTCTTGTTATTCCTCAAGCGCTTGGAATGACTGTTGAGATGCGTTCTGGAGTAGGCCCTGTATTGCCAGAGCCTCTTATTGCTCCAAAAGACATTGACAGACTCGACAATACAGCAAGCATTGTGCAAAAATTATGTTATGTTGCTGAAGCAATATCACTAACACGTAATAAACTTGATGGTAAAGTACCTCTGCTTGGGTTCTCAGGAGCGCCGTGGACATTAATGGGCTATATGATTGAAGGTGGAGGTTCGAAAACATTGTCTAAAGCCAAAGCATGGTTATATCAATATCCAGATGCTTCTAAGCATTTGCTGAAAATTCTGACAAATGCAGTTGTTGATTATTTAGTGATGCAGGCATGTGCAGGTGCTCAGCTGCTGCAAGTGTTTGAATCCAGTGCAGAACATTTGGGTCCAGAGTTGTTTAAAGATTATATTCTTCCATGTATCCGAGATATATCGTTTCGTGTGAAGGCTGAAATTAAGGCAAGGGAGCTAGATGACATTCCAATGACAATTTTTGCTAAAGGTGCTCATTATGCTTTACCAGACTTGGCAGAAAGTGGTTATGATGTTATAGGACTTGATTGGACTATAGACCCAGAAGAAGCTAGGCGGAAGGTTGGTTCTGGTATCACTTTACAAGGAAATCTTGATCCATGTTCTTTGTATGCACCAGAAGCAGAGCTTAAGAAACTGACAAAGGAAATGTTGAAGAAGTTTGGTAAAAGTCGATACATTGCAAATTTAGGCCATGGAATTTATCCTGATATGAAGCCAGATCACGTGGCTACCTTAATAGATGCTGTACATGAAGTATGAGATGCTGAAACAGTAGTACTGAAATCTGAGTCTTGCAGTGTAAAATGACAGACTGAAAGGGCTGTGATTATTCCATAACATTTAAAATGATATGTACCATAACATAGCATACAGCTATGTTACAGTCCATATCAATTTAAATAAATTATGTTGCATGAAATGTAGTTTGTTGATCTGCATACTTGTAATCCAATAGTTGATAGCTTTGATATAACAAATGTATTTTCAACAAAATTATAAAAAGAAGAAAATTAGAGGTTGACTCTAAGAAAGGTTACAATTGTGATTCTTTAATTTTTAAAACAAGTTTCTATGAACTACATTAAATATTGAAGATGATAATAGTCACATTCCTACATAACACATGCATTTGATAATTATAATTAAATAACCCAGTCTGGTATTTATATTACATAAAATCCTGTTAGAACATACACTGACATGGATGTGTCTGTGCACTTAGGACAACAGAAAACAAAAGATTTTGAAAAATTAACAAGGAGGAAGTAGTACTAGCTATGGCCCCACCATAGCTCAGGCAGTTAGTCACTGGCTTCCCAGTGCGGTGATGCGGGTTTGAACCCTGGTCTGGTCATGTGGGATTTTTAGTGGACAAAGTGGCACTGGGGCAGGTTTCCTCCAAGTACTTTAGTTTTCCCTGTCAATCTTCATTCCATCAGTTCCACAATCACCATCATCCATCATCTGGGGCTGGTTCAATAGACCAAGTGGACTTAGTCACACCCCACTACTACAAATAATAATGATGATAATAATAATAATAATAAGTAATACTAGCTAAGCCAAAGATACATGAAAATGTGAAGAACATAAAACAGTGGTTACAGTAATAAGGTACTAGAGGCATTAGAAAAGGTAATTAAAGAATCACTGTGCCTGAGTGGAGAGTGAATAACAGCACTACATTAGACCAAGTAAACACTGCAATAGTCAGATTTACAAGAATATGCTGACATGCAGAAAGGGTATAAAGCTGTACTCAAAAACACAAGAAGAGAATGTAACGGGAAGGAAGGAAGACTCAAATAGAGGAAGCTGAATGAGACATGTTTTAAGGCAATGATGATAAGAGAGCCATGATTCCTCACATACACCAGTCCAGATATAGGAAGAAAAATTTAATAACCTTTAAGTGCCGAAGTGCCCCGTTTGTGCCAGTCATGAGTAAGGTCGTCGTGGCCAAACCCAGTTTTGGCCACTCAGGCATTTAAACTTTCTCAGTGGAAGCGCGCGCACAGCACTAGTAGAAGCGCATGCACAGTCCTAAATATTTATTTTTAAATGTAGTAATTACCAGACAGACTTGAGTAAAACCCTAATAGAGGAATTAAAATAATACCTAACTGAACAACAGCACATAATAATATACATATGAGTTATGCCAAAACTTATCCACGATCCAGTAATTTTATTGCAGATTCTGCAGATAGGTATGTTAAAAATATATTGTAAAATTTGATGTACATACCTTTTTTGTTGTTACCTGCTTGATGTATATACAGTTTCAAATAAAACTACAGTATTCAATTTCACTACGAACGCACACAAAACAGATCGCGCTCTGTATCTCAGCCACGATGCAGCTGTCTGTTCACTCAAATAGAAGGGGCAATAAGCTTTTGCAGCTCTAACGGAAGGTCTTAGCACTGAAGAAGGGACCCCTCTAGCTTTCTCTTGAATAGCCATTCTTTCATTCTTCTGACCTTCAGTCAGAGATTCAAAAATCCGAAGGGTGTAAGCAGTGCTAGCCGAAGACCAAATGATTTTATTGCTTCCATCTGTTTTATGACACCAGGGACTGCTAAAATTTGTCAAGTGTTACAAACAGAAATGAATTTATAATGCAGAACAACTCTGTGAAGAACTGGGAAACCATTTTTGCAGTACGCATCAAAATTAAAACAAAAAATTGAAAATAGATTATAACACTTTGTATTAAAAATGTCAAATCTTCCGTTATAATATGTGACACTATGTTCTTTTCGGATATATACACATTTAATTCCATCCATTTATCATAAAAATTGAGCTAGATACAGCATTTTTAAACACAACGCTTAAAATTGATTAATCGCCTAACAGGAACGGACATTTAAACGCAAGGGAGCAACGGGCATTTAAATAAACTCCGGCCAGCTCAAGTTTACCACTATTTCGAAGTCCGGCGTTTAAAGGCTAATGTCTAAAAGATTTATAAAATGCAGACTGACTCCAATACAGAGCCAGAGGCTGTATGAAAGGAGGAGATAAAAGGAGTAGGCAGGAAGTAAAGATCACCATCTGAACAAAAGGGGGAGGGGGGGATTTCAGTGCTATAAACTTGTACAAAGGCAGAGAGTCCAAATGCTTACAGAGTCATTGTGTTAGAATGTATGTTATTTATGATCCTTGTAACCAGAAGATAAGTTGAATTAGTGGACAAAAGAATACTAGACAGTTTGGATTTAAGCAAGGTCAGTCAACAATCCATACTGTACTACAGAATGACATAGTATTTCTCAACCACCAGGTCCTGGCATCAATTATATCAGGCCCTTGTCTTACAGAAAAACGAATTTACTGGGCCTTGCTCCGACAGATTGAGAACCTTAATAATTTTCATTTCATGCATTCTGTTGTGTTACAATATACAACTTTTTATTACAATCGTCACAACACAACTATATCAATATCAGTGCCTAGTTTTGGCTCTCCTACATGTTTTTGTTTACATTCCCTACAGAACGGACAATACTTTGTAAGATGAGGCACTGACTAAATAATTAACATTTATATTACTACATCTACATCACGAGCCCAAAATAACAGTTTTTTATATACATACAAAATATAGAATACTCCAATCTGTCCGTGGGAACACAACAAAATCACAAAAACCAACAACTGACTCGATGATGTAAAGCATCAATCAAAGAATTTTATTCTTGTTTTATATTGTAACTTTTGTTTTTTATATATCTAATTTATTGTATTTTTATGTCAAGTATTTTAATATATTAATATTATTGTATCCAATTTTATTAATACTGCAGTTCAGTGGTGCATATATGTTAGCCACGTATTTGCCTGATGATGGCTATTAATAGCCGAAACATGTAGCAGAGCCAAAACTAGGCACTGACATTGATATAGTTGTGTTGTGACTGTTGTAATAAAAAGTTGTAGATTGAGAACCACTGACATAGAGGAAGTTTTCAGATTCGTATAAGCAAAGTCACTTGCCATATTTATGAACAATTCAAAGGTCTTTGACCTAATCAGTGCAAATAAACTGATTGGGAAGGTGGTGAAATTGATCAGGAAGGATAAACCCCTGATTAAACTTACCAGTATTCCAGCATGAAACTATATACTCATACAAATAAATGAGATCTTGTCAAGGTCAAAATTAAAAACGGAGACTAATGGTGTCTCAAAGAGAGAGACAGGGAACTGAGTACTATTTAACCTAGCAACAGTGTACATTGTGATTTAACAGTGGAAAATATTAAAATTTACATCTGTGCTGATGATATGGTGATAACATACAAGTCTCAAGAGGAAATTTAGGCAACTGTTAGCAGGCTGTCTCAACAGCAGAGAACAGTGGAAGTGGTATTTAGGAACATTATTTCATTTGGTGGAGGGAAGCTCATAACTGTGGTAACTGTGAACATCTGTAAGTAACTTGGGTCACCTTGCAATTGTATGGGACCATAAATACTAATCATATACAAGAAACATAAAAAATATACAGAACTTCAGCAGTGTATCACTGGGTACAGCAGTTGTTCAAACTGATGTTAATTCCAATTAATGCATATGGACTTGATTTTATATTTAAACATCTGACAGAGAAGAATCTATCAGAGAGTCTGAAAAAGGCACTCTGTCAAAGTTTGCTGGCTTATGTGTGGCATATGTATACATTGAAGACATGATAGAAACTATGACTGTCATTGACAAGCTCATATGAAGAACTACTTTGACAGTGGCAGAGCAAGAGAATTGCCATCAAGAATGATTTCTACATTATAGGAGCCATGACTTATCAGAATGGTATTTAATTCTGAATTTCACTGTATTCTGGTATATGACCAAGCAATCTGGTAGATTGGTACTCAGAAACATTAGTAAACATCTACTGGACCACTTGGTGTCACATATCAGAAATCTTCACACACTCATATTTAATTTTGTGTGACCATGTTGCATTTAATTTTGATGTTACTTCATGTAAATAATAAATAGGCAAAATAAAGTGGTTTACATCATCATGTTTCTTTAAGTTTCAGATTACATTTCAGAGCGACCTTTCTTTCCCGATATTATTCTTGAAATACCTTTATTTTCTTCTTTTTGCTCAACAAAATTGAAAATAAATGTATGGGCAAAATGTTCTGGCTTGTGCACCACAGGAAATGGACTGCTGCTTCATATTTTGGTTTTGTGTGTTAAGGCACAATGTAGCCTAATACATTGCTACATACATACATACATACTTTATTTCACTTCCATAAATCCTATCAGGAGTTACAAACTCATGTGGATGTGGAGATCGTCTTGGTTACAAATTTGGCACAAGATACAACTTGTCGTACAAATATCATAAACATTCTAATACAATCCATTACAAGTAAATTACAAGTGGAAAACAGTCCTGTCATACATTATTAGCACATACATATTAATGATAAAATTCAATAAGAGATACATAATAGTTACAATATAAATAAGTAATATAAAATAAGATATTACAATGCTTGTATACAATAAAATAAAATAAAAGTTACAAAATACCCAATATAAATAATTATAAATACAAAAATACAAATCTGGCTATTTATCTCCTTTTAGAGTAGAGTTATTCAAATACCTTAAGGGGATTTGTAACAGAAATATTCTTGTAATGAATAAAAAGAGTGTAGTAGTAAAAATTGTTTCAGTAGTACTTCAAACATCTTAATATCACTTGATACATCCTTAATGTGTTGTGGAAGATTATTGTAGACCTTCGTTCCTGAATAATAGATTCCCTTTTGATACATCCTCAAATTTACTAGGGGTAGATGGAGGTTTTTTTGTTGCCTAGTATTTTTCCTATGGATCTCTGAATTTACTGTGAATTCACTTCTATTTTTTGCTACAAAAAGCATAAGAGAAAGTATATACTGAGATGCCAAGGGCAATATTTCTAGTTTTTTAAATAATTTCCTGCACGAGTCCCTCCTTCTACAACCCAACATAATTCTAATTATATTCTTTTGCATCCTGAATATTTTTATGCTTAAGGGTGAGTTGCCCCAAAAGGGTATCCCATAATTTATGATTGAATTAAAATAAGAGTGATATACCATTTTCAAGGTACTTAGGGACGTGAATGGTTTTATTGATCTTATTATGTAGCAAACCGCACTTGTCTTTGAAGTAATATGTTCAATATGGCATTTCCAGTTCATTTTCTCATCAATGTGTATTCCAAGAAATTTTATATTAGATACAGTTGTAATTTCTTTTCCCTCGTATGCAATTTTTGTTTCGGTTATTGGTTTATTATTACTGGCTGAGAAATGAATATAATGAGTTTTGTTAAAATTTATAGAGAGTTGGTTTACTTTGAACCATTCATTTATACTGTGTAAAGCAGAATTTATTTTTACATGGAGATCATTATAATTCAAACTTGTAACTAATACACTAGTATCGTCAGCGAACAGGATAGGCACAGTTTTCTCGTTTATAATTTTGGGTAAGTCATTTACATAGAGAAGGAACAACAAAGGGCCCAAAATCGAACCTTGTGGGACTCCATGTCTCATTTTACCCCATGTTGATGAATCATTTAGATTTAGCTTTGTATCAGTAATTACGACTCTTTGATACCTGTTACTAAAGTATGATTCAAACCATAGCTTTGTTTTACCTTTTATACCATAGAATGTATGTATGTATGTATGTATTGCTACAAACTTTTGAAGGAACATACTGTTTCCATCTTTAGGGTAGGAGTACTTCTATCCTGATGAAGATGGTCACATTTTCATCTAATGTCAGTACCCTCATATCAGACTACTGGCGTCATAACCCAGACACATCACAATGTAAATCATTGCTGTATTGTTTAAGTTTTAACCACTAAGAATCTGAGGTGGTTGGTATAGTAACACTTCGCACTTGTTTGGGAGGTGATTCGTTCAAATATTAGGTGAAATACAATCTTGATAGGCTTTTCATGATTTCCCCTTCAGCAAATGTAAGGCTACTACCACAGTTAGGCTCTGGCCATTTTCTTCCAAATCCTTTCCTTTCCATTATTCAGTTTCTTCTAAATTATGCTCTTTAGTCTGCACAACAGCAGCATTATCAACTTGACCATAGAAAGAAAACAGCCATGCACAATTTGCTGTTGTGTGTAGGAGAGTTATATTCGAACACAAACAGCCCACTGTTATTACTATTATAATTTGTTCAAGTAGTTTTTTTTCTGAAATGTCATGGGCACAAAATTAAACTTATTGGAACTGACATGTTAAGCAACCTGTAAACCATGGAATTTTGGTTAAATTTTTAAGGTTGGTCATGAAGCTATTCTGACATTCCTATCATATTTCTCTTAGTGTATGTGAAGTAATGCCTGACCATGTGCTTTAACCCCTCGAGCGTGACTTTTAGTGGAGCCATTTAAATCCCTAAGCATGTGCGACGCACCGTCTGCGTCCACTCAAAGCCGTGCTGTAAGCGTGCGCGCCGCATATGTTGCGTCCAAACTTTTCACTAAGAATTCTTAACGCCTACGCTCTGATGTGTGTACTTCCAGTGAATGTATATGTCAGCTAACACTGACTTCTTTCATTCCTCGCTATCTGTTTGTGTGTGGTATTTTTTTACTCGCTTTGCTTGGGACAAAGCATCTGGTGTCTGCTGCTTACGAAAAAGTTGTTCCAACTCACACTTGCAAACAGAGAGATAATTTGTTAGCTAACTTTCATTGAGTGCTTGTTATATGTGTGTATTTTTTTATTACTGGCTTGGCTTACTGGCGACAAAGAAGCCGTGTCTGATTTACGATGTTACGAACCTAGGTGTCAAAGTTGGCTGACGCCTGTGTCAACATTTATGAATCTGTTATTCCTTTTCTGCTTCGCAACACCCTCTTATCGGAGCAACATGGCATTTGGTCACGTAACTTCTCTGGCGGGACAGTTTCTTGCCCCTGACGCTAATAAAATAGAGCTTTCAAAAGTGGGTTCCCACAACTTTGAATGAAATTAGGATATTCCTAGGTTTTCTTATGCTGATGGGAATAATTCAGAGACCAAACCTCAGGGTGTATTTTAGTAGGAAACATATGTTAGAAACACCATTTTTTCCCAATGTAACGAGTGAAGAAAGGTTTTCATTGCTGACCAGATTTCTCCATTTTGTAAATAACACCAATAAGGAAATTGCAAAAAGAGATCCTAAATTGTACAAAATTCTTCCGGTAAGTGAATATTTGAAAAATAAGTTCCAGAAAGTGTACATACGGGGCAAAGATGTAAGTGTCGATGAATCTTTGTTATTGTGGAAAGATAGACNGCTTAGTAACAATAGTAGTTAATATCAGAATAATGAAGCTAAGCATTAGCATCCTGCTGCACATCACTTAATATCAAATGTTACTGGTCCCACCATCTCATGTGCAACAGGTCTTTCTGTAAATATTATTAAAGGTTATTCACTCCAAAAGTTTTGCACATCACATGTTTTTCACCATGTTTCGACCAATACAATCATAATCAGGTGTTTAAAATTATAGCTAAGGAAACTGCTGTGCTTCTGTAATCGAGGCTTCAGTTATTAATTTTATAATGTACGGTCAGCTCTATATACATGTACGTATATTCCAAGTGTCAGGCTCTTCTTCCTTTTGTGTTGTGCTGTGTCTTTTTTACAAATGCATTTGTGAATAACCTTTAATAAGTTCCATAGAAATACATATTGCATGTGAGACAATGGAACCAGTTAACATTTGATGCTAAGCATTAGAATGAATCTTCAACAAATTTAAGCATATCTTGCTGTTTGCTTCTTGCTTACTTGGAACGCAGTGTGTTTCTCTACAATATGAGTGAATTTTGAGACAATCCCTGGTGACTTGTTTGAATACAAAGGAATGTAATCAGCCTCCTAGCATTATTGAGGGGAAGTGGGAGACAGTAGGAGAAAAAGTAGGAAGTAACATGAGTAACCCCTAAATATTTATGCAAACAATATTTTTTAGCACAAAATCAGGTCTCGCCATCAATGCATTGAAAGTAAAGTGGAAGGGACACTGCAAGATAAACAGTAACCATTAGATGAAAGAAAACGAGGTAGTTATGTGATGCAAACAGTAGTCCCCCATTTCCTCATAACTGAGGGCAGGAATTACAGATGTAAATATCATAGTGTAAGAGTTTAAAGGTGCACCATAGACATCAAATATAAAAAATAATTTATTATTATTTATTTTTCACTGAAACTATAAGTGTCTGCCTTATAGGTACAAGACAGTAGTAGCATATCCAAGAATAACTACATGTCTTTATCTCTTCAGTTTCATTGTCCTTTCATGTAAAATGGAATTATGTTAGGATTACATCACCAAATAGGAACTGGGATAGCTTAGTTGGTATAGCAGTGGGTCACAGAGCTGGATAATGGGTTCAATTCCTGGCAGCAGCAAGATTTTTCTCTTCAGCATAGTGTTTAGACTGGCTCTGGTCCCCACTAGGCCTCCTATCAAGCACATACTGGGGCCTCTTTCCCCAGGGCTAAAGTGACCAGGGTGTGAGGGTGACCACTCAGTTCTATCAGGTTCAGAGCTCAATGATGGTGGAGCTATACCTCCATTCCCCAATACATCTTCATCGTTTTCTTCTTCAATTAAGCACAGGGACATCTTTACCCCAAAATCACCAAATAATCTGCTAAGGATAAATTGGTTTGTGCTAGAATTATTAAAACTCAAATACTACTGTTCATACGATGTTCATTTGCCTTTATTTTAATAGGTACCGAAATGTTCTTGGGCAATCAGCTGTGTCAATGTTGAATTAAAAACTATCAGTTCAAGAATCTCCATCATCAGAGTTTAAATGATGTCAAATCAAACCTGATAGCGGAGGCAGAGCTCCGTGAAATGTTGGTTTCTAACTCAATGCTGACACAGATGATCAACCAAGAAGATTTCAGCATATTTATTCACAGTTAAAGCTTCAAATCTTACATTACTTTAACAGCTTTACATCTCAACAGGTGCAGCCTTCTGATTAATGAAACATTTTTTCGTTGTAGTAGTACCTTTCCACTTCTTGAATTTCTTTCCTTGCTTATGAGTTTTCTTCGGTTTCAGTTTTTTATCCTGCTTGTTCAAATCTTTCAGCTGCTTTGATTTTTTTTTCTTCAATTTGACTCGATTCTTCTTTGAGGTAGGAGTTTCCAATTCTTTCACTTCTGATTTTTTTTTCTTTGACCTGACTTGATTGTTCTTTAAGGCAGGAGTTTCCAATTCTTTGACTTTTCTTACTAAGGCCTGAGTTTCAATCTCACTAGCCTTCTCCAGGGTATCACCAGAGAAAATTTCATCAATAGGATTTAACTGATATGACTCTTTAGGTCTTGATTCTTCATATGTCATTTTATTCTCCAACCGATTCTCATACTTATGAGCAGCAATTTTCCTAATCTGCTGACGGTACTGGAAAAAGAGATCAAATAATATTTTAACATTTTCACACATGGAGGACCTGGGCCTCCCTGGCTGCACTAACCAGACACTTTACTATAATACCTACTGCAATATGTACTCTTTAACAACATAACATGTAACTTATCAGGCCAGATTTTCTCCAAAATTTCAATACTAAGCTTCTAATGTGTCTTCCTGCATCTGACAGCATACCTTAGGGTACTTTCTCCTATGTATACAGAAAGACCTGATAGTGCTCAGGAAAGGAAGTCACCTGCTGTGACTCCATACACCCTTTTCCTCGGGTCTGCTTTCAATACAGCTTCTTTCAAGAAATAAAAGAGTACTACTGAGATTAAAAATTTTGTGTGGCCCCCACAGCTTCCTGCCATCAGAGTGGGTAGTACTTGCTGAATTGATAACACAAGTTTTACCACGTATATATTTATAAAAACCATAAATTTTTAATGGTCTGAAAGAAATAGGATGGTGTGGTATGAACTGGATTTATCTGGTTCAGAATAGGGACCAGTGGCAGGCCCATGTAAACATGGTAATGAACCTTCAGGTTTCAGTTAGTTATACATCGACTACTATAAATGCTAGGGATCAAATTTCAGAACAGAATCTGTTCACAAAATGATTTAGTGGCACAAATATCTCAATTGTTAAGTTACTACACAAATATTTATGATAAGCAAACATGATAAACATAAATACGCTAAAATAACAACAGGCTATATATATTACCATTGCTGGTGATACAAATTTTGGATTCTCCCATATCGCCTGCCCTCGAAAACTACCTCCAAATATCTTGATTGGATTCAGTACAAATCGTGGGCCAATCTCTGCCAAAGCTCCATCTTCAGACAGAATTTGAAAGTTGCGAAACCAAATGCGACTGTCTACTACTGAGAATGTAATCACATGATCTATGAAAGGTTGACTTTTTGGATGATGGTATGGTGTACCAAATATCTGCAATGAAATACAAATTGCACCCACCATAAACTTGAATTAAACATTATAATTAACAAAACAAACTAATTATACCAATACAGCACACAAATGATAAAATTACACTGACAGACAAAATCACCTTGTGAAAGCACAAATTATACGAACTGAAGCTATAGATTTAAACCCACACCTACACAAAAATTATAATAATATTCAGAATTTCCAACTACAATTTTTGACTAAACCTGTTCCACATTTTTATTGATACAGCTCTAGCCATACTACCCAATAAAGACCACAGTAAAATCGCTCATCTGCTTATTCCATTATGGCAAGGAGGTCAAAGGATTAAGAATTTATATTTTAATACTTCATACCTGGACAAACAGCTCTTTAAGAAGAATGTAGTGAGGGTTTCTGGTGAAGTTCTCATCAAATGAAAGTATAGGTCTTGAACCTTTCAGACAGTTCCCATTAAACTTTAGTTCTGCCATTGTGTAAACTGAAATGACAAAAAGAGTGTTCATTAATATTTATGTAACATTTCTCATACTGACAGTATATACCCACATATGAAAATTTTTACTTGGAGACTTTCTTCCACTTTACGACATGGTCTAAAATAACAGCATTTCTTGAAGGGTTTGTTAATGGAGTTATAATCCCATAAAGTTCTTCTGATTATTTATGACCAAGTTTCAGTAAGGGATTCCTTATCAGAGCACAGCTCTAAGTTTATACAGAATTGATGTGCTTTAGTTTTCCACATACAGTAAAACTTGGTTATAGCAACATCGGTTTCTGCAACACCTTGTCTATTGCGTCAAATATTCAATGGTATGAACTAATTCCTCATAAAGCAACTGTTTTTATACCTTGCTTAGTACGACATGCACAAATGCATCAACCTCGTATGTAACATCATTTTCATTCCTGAATTTCTCTGATATCGTGGGAAAGTTCGATGTGTCTGCCCACCCTCACTTTCTCTACTTGCTGACGTGACTGTCCTAGAAGAATACGACCGCGGCCTGCAAGAGGAGTGTGGGTTTTATGCGAAAACAAGGGCGTGGGGTGGGACTGCGTGAATAGTGCAAGAGGACGCGGCAGGTTGTTAACGTCATTCCTTTCCTAGAATCTCGTCTAACAGGACCACACATTGTCTACTTAATCTATAGTGTTCCTGCCTAAACCCAGAGAAGTGCAGTAGTGAAAACATGGCAATGAAAAGGAAAGTTTTAAGCATTGAAGAGAAAGTTAAAGTGATTCGTGAAATAGAAAATGGAAGGAAAAAAGCTGATGTATGCCGCGAATTTGGTTTGGTGAATTCTACAGTACAAACGATATGGAGAATCCATATTAATTCCACGTTAATGTTACGTTAGTCTGTACTTAACTACGTATTTCACTAAAAAATGCAACATTTTAACTCTGTTTTTGGTAGATTTTTACGTGACTAACATTAGGCTACTGTGGAAGTGCCCATTTCGGTTACAACAACATTCGTTTATAACGACACTATTTTTAGGTCCCTTTGATGACGTTATAACCAAGTTCTACTGTATTTTGGAAAATAAGCTGCCTTATTCATTTAACAAAAATAAATATTACCATTTTCAACTAGAAATTTAGCTGAAGGTCCACTTGGAATATTGGCTATCCACATATATAAGTCACGTTTCAGACGTCCTTCAAACAAGATGCATTTATTGCAGTTTTTCATCTCACATATCTGAAATACACAGTACATAATACAATTAATACTTTGTGCAGCAATGAGTAATAGAACTGAGAGAGGATGACAACACAAGTACAGAGTTTAATTTATTATGTAAAATGCCTACTGTTCAAACATAAACATTATGAAGACACTACAGGAAAAAGTTTCTCAAGCCAGATTGGTTTATTCAGACATTTTATCATATATATATATATATATAAACATATGAATTCAAGACTCACTTCATTGACTACAAATAGATCATCCTTCCGTTCCATTTTGCTTTCTGGCTTTGAATGTGGCATTAAGGCCCTCAAATCTTGCATTAAATGGCGGTCCCTGTGAGAAATTCCTCTTGAACCAAATATAAGAACTCTCTGTTTGTTGATCCACTTCACCTAAAATTTGACAATTCATAAGTTTTATGAACCTGTGGAACATTCAGTATGGTTGAATATGAATAATACATTTATGACATGTAACTGTGGTATTACAATTTCTGGCTATATGGTTGATATGATCATACTCAGTGTCCCTCATAGTTTTATATATAAAGCAATAATGGCTGAAATGAAAAGCAATGAAATTTCTGAAGAGAAAATGCCTCTAGTCTCTAACCCATCACATCAACTTTTGGTTCTTCCTAATGCAGAGGCTTAACTGTTCTCAACAGTGTGCTGAGGGTAGAATTCTAATAGCCACTGACTCACAGAATTTCTTTCACATCATTTACATTGTTATGCCAGTTCATACTTCTTGTATATTTTAAAACAACAGATTATGTTCTTAATCCTAATGATTGGTGTATATATATATATATATATATACATTAAAGTTATTGGACACTAGGTGTCAAAACTGCTGGGTGCAGCACATGCATGCAAAACAACACTTCAATGACACAAAAGAGGATGACACAGCAACCACTGGGTATTTTTCATTCGTAAAATATTTTGTTTCACAAAAATGCATCGAGTTTTGGGGTTNGAAAATGCCTCTAGTCTCTAACCCATCACATCAACTTTTGGTTCTTCCTAATGCAGAGGCTTAACTGTTCTCAACAGTGTGCTGAGGGTAGAATTCTAATAGCCACTGACTCACAGAATTTCTTTCACATCATTTACATTGTTATGCCAGTTCATACTTCTTGTATATTTTAAAACAACAGATTATGTTCTTAATCCTAATGATTGGTGTATATATATATATATATATATATATTAAAGTTATTGGACACTAGGTGTCAAAACTGCTGGGTGCAGCACATGCATGCAAAACAACACTTCAATGACACAAAAGAGGATGACACAGCAACCACTGGGTATTTTTCATTCGTAAAATATTTTGTTTCACAAAAATGCATCGAGTTTTGGGGTTCCTTTGGCTTAGTGATCCATGTCAATGGTTATTCCACTCCTTAAAACAGGGAAATTGGTTCCCTCACAACAGTTTCATTTTGGTACAGGTTAAATCGTGTCCTTTACCTTCTTCGGAGCTGGTTCATCAGAAGAACGTGCTTTTGCTGGTATTTCGTTATCTGAGAACTCTTCTTCTGACTTTGTTATATCCTTTAATTTACGTTTTCCTTCTTTCAACTTCCCCATTTTGCCTCCCTTGCTTCAACAATGAATGTTTCCCAGCACCTCACGTGCTCAACACTTCGTAACCTGTCGTTACCAGCCCATACTGTTTACGCGCGGAGAACGCGAGTTTCGAACGCGTATCTCACGGAATACTACGATTTATACCTAACGTGCCGAAACTTCAACGCAACAATCTAAATCAGCCTTGTCCAACGCGGCGCCCGTGGTATTTTCTGGCGCCCTCCGTAACCACATATAATTGAGCCGATTTTTCATATTAATTCAAATTGTAAGACAAGAGACATTTTTGAACGTCTGAGTACTGTTAAATATTTTCGAAAAATTTTATTATTATTATTATTATTATCATCATTATTGTTTTATTATTATTATTAGTAGTAGTAGTAGTAGTAGTAGTAGTAGTAGTAGTGTGTGGTGGCGCCCGCACCTCCATAGGCATCAGTGAATTGTGCCCGAGTACATAAGAACGTTGGACAGCACTGATCTAGAGCGATCTAGGGATTGCTAGGGATCTAGAGAATGGCCATCATCCAAGATGACCAGGAGCTGTAATCATGTAAGTTAGTACGGATCAGTACGGACCTCCTGCTTTAATTGGCTGCGCTTCTTCTTCTTCTTCTTCTTCAGTTTGGCTTATTAGGATCTGCGTTCAATTCAGAGTGAAGTTCTAAAAGTATGAACCTTTTGAACATTTGGTCGGATTGCTTTGACGGAGAATGGTAAATTGCAAGGCCTTTATCTGCACAGAGAAATAATACAAGAAGAAACGAGGAAAAACATCCAAACCCCGCTTCAGATGGGAACCCACGGTCCCAGCGTTGTTGTCTCAGACATTATTGTCGCTATGATCGACTAACATTCTTCTCTGGAGACCTGGAAATAATTTAGTTATTACAAAAGATTATTTTCACCCACAATAACAATTCTCGATGCCGCCATTGGATTTTTCAATTGATATATCCTTCCAGCCACACAAGGGCCCTGAGGTTGACTCAGCCACTAACAGGAATAAATACCAGGTATCTTCGTGGGCGTAAAGGACGGCCGGCACGTAATGCTGACCTCACCGGCATCTGTGGGCCGATTGTCTGGAAAATGTGGAAGCCTCGACGTCTCACAACCCCATGGGCCTCCGCGACCTGTAACAGGGGTAGCTTCACCTCTTACAATATGAAATTATGTGAGCAGCAGGTTGTGCCAGAGGCCAAAGGACAGAGTGCGTCATGGCCAGCTTGTGACGTAGTAGTGGTTGTATACTCTTGCAGAATTATATATTTCCCTTTTGTGAATTTTCCTGTATATTTAACCAGTGTTAAATTATTAATATTAATACGTATAAATAGCACGCTTCGTAAGCCCTTTTATAATAATATTAGGACTGAATGCATGGTATCGTCTGACTATGCACCTAAATCTCCGCTTCATATAGACATGCTCTATGTAAGATCATCTCTGATTTCCATTTTCAGTCATGTGGAAATACGAGGTTTCAACTCTTACAACCGGTTCGGTTGTGTTAGAAAGTAAATGGTGTTGATCTTGGTCATCTTGGTGATGGTGGTGTAGTTGAGGAACATCGTTTGTATATGTACGGCATTAAAACCGTATATTTGTTTACTTCCAAAGTAGTGACTTAACTCGGTATTGTACGAATAGAATGTCAGTTGTATTAAGAATGTGTTCAGTTATAATTTGATGACATTAATTAAAAAAATGAGAGGTCGCGGTCGTGGTCGTGCACGTAGTCGCGGGAGAGGAAGAGGATCTCGAGGTCGTGGAAAGAAAGCTGTCAAGGTAATCAAAGACGTTGCAAGTAATTTTCAGGCTTGTATTTTTTTTATCAGTAATGATTATTTGCAGTGTGTTTTGTGTACACCCTTGCTCTAAATTTCCACAGCTATATACAATACCATACTCACATGCTTGAAAAAGAGGGAGGAAGAAGGAGGGAGTTTGATACTTCGTAGGCTTTTAAAGTCTGGAGTTTTTATGTAAGGGGTACTTGTCAGGAAATTTTTTTACACACAGAAAGAGAACGACCTATTTTTCCACGAAAGTAACCATAGTAAAAGATTACAGACAGATACACAAAAAGCCGTTTTAAGTCACGTAACATTAAAAGGAAGAATCCAAGAAGTAAGCTTTTGACATCAACAGTTTTTAAAAGCAGTGTTTTTTAAATGTATTTTACTGACTTCCTAGTTTTGCCAACATGTGTTTCAGTGCATACTGGCTGGCAAAGTTACTGTTTACATGTAAGACTAACAAGAATAAACAAATAGTACTAGACCATAAGAAACACTGCTCAAAAACATGCAAAATTTCATTACACATTCTGTTTGAAGGGTCTGATGATGGTGTAAGAGCAATCCTGAAACATGCAACTTTTTGAACTATTACAAACAAAGTTGTTGTTTGACTGAGCTTTCAATATTGTGCCATATCTGTGGAAAGCCAGGATTGTGAAGTCATCAGAGTCAGCCATTGCGAGGAAACAGCACGGTAACAACATGTTAACAGTGTTTTCTGTGCGATCTGTGCCACATTCCCACAGCAGCATGTATGCACTCTAGAGGAGCTGTTGAAAGTGGTGTTCTCTACAGGTCCATGCAGAAGGTATATATAGAGAATCAGAACATAGTAGGGAAGTCTAGAGAGTCTTGAGCCTGAGTTAGCAGTTGGGAGACAGACCCATTGGAGGTTATTGCAGGCAGTTGCTCCTGGTGGAGGTGTGGGGGCCAGAGGAGCCCCATTGTTTTAAGTCATTACGTAGCAGTGCTGAGTAGTTGTGAGATAGGTGCCAGTGAGCCAGGACAGAAGCTGTTGAATATAGAAACTGAGGGATCTATGACATTGGAAGCCATTACCAGATAAGGAATGGTAAAGTCACAGCAGACTGAGAAGACTTAGTGCTTGTTGTAGTGAGTTATAAAGTGTGTAGGTCCATGAGACTGTTATAGTTACGTGTAGTTCCAAGTTGTAAAAGTCCAGTAACTCCAATTACCAATCCAAACCCCATCTATAGTCAATTATTGCACGACAATATGTATTTATGGGAAGTAGTCATTAGGTCAGAGTTCTGGAAATGAAGAGTGTCATCCTGTGCAGCTGTAAAAGCTATTCCTGTAACAGGCTGTCTTGGCCCATAGGGTTACGAGTTGGTGAGGCTCCCACATTTTCTAGACAATGAGCTCACAGATGGTGGTAAGGCTGTCAGCCTTACGTACTGGCCACCCTTTACTCCCAGAAAAATTCCTGGTACTGATTTACGTGGTGCAATCCAAAAGTTCCCAAAATATATTAATAAAAACTATCACATCTTACCTAGATCTGCACCATCACCTTCAAAGTAGTCCCCTTTGGGAGCGCATACACTGATCCCAGCGTTTCTGCCAATTTTCAAATGCATCCTGGAAGTCTTTCTTTGTTAGGGTGTTTAGTACCGTCTGCATTTCTGCTTGAATTTCCTCAACTGTATCAAATCTTCGCCCCTTCAACTTGATTTTCATCTTGTGGAAGAGAAAGAAGTCGCATGGAGCTAAGTCTGGCGAGTACAGTGGGTGGGGAACAACTGCCATCTTGTTTTTAGCCAAAAAATTCCTGCACAATGTAAGCCGTATGCGGTCGTGCGTTGTCATGGTGGAGTACCCAGTCGCTCGTGCGCCACTTCTCTGGACGTTTTTTCCTCATGTCCTCCCTCAAACACCTTAGAACATCGCGATAGAACTCTGTTGACTGTCTGATCAGGAGGGACGAACTCCTTATGAACAATCCCGTCAGTATCAAAAAAACAGATCAACATGGACAATGTTGCTCTTGATTTGTCGAGCTTTTTTTGGCCGAGGTGAAGAAGGGCTCTTCCATTGCGACGATTGCTGCTTGCTTTCAGGGTCGTAGCCATAAACCCATCTTTGGTCACCAGTGACAACCTTCGAAAGAAAGTTTGGATCCTCTTGAAGCTGTTGCTGAAGTTTGAAACAAAACTTTATACAGACACGCTGCTCTCTCAGGTCAGCCATCGCAAAACTGCAAACTCACGGAAACACAACAATGGAAATATGTTCACCAACAATAAACCCAACCGCTCAACTCGACGCCGTTTGCCACACTGATTCAAGAAGGTTGTGTGAGGAGACACCTAGCGGTATTTCGATGTACTCATAACCATTCGTACGCAAAATTCAAATTTCAGAAAATTTGGATTGCCCCACGTATGTCAGAGGCTGAGTCAACCCCCAGGGCCATAGTACAGCTGGTAGGATTCGGTCAATTGAAAAAAATCTGATGACCTCATCGGGAATTGTACCTGCAACCTTGCGGTTTGTAGCATAGTGCCTCACCCAACTATGCTACCCCATGCTCTGCATTGCCAGCTGTACTTTATATAGCAGTTTGGCACTTTTAGAATGTAATTGTTTAGGTAGCGCTGGAATTGCATTGGTATCTTGGCTGTGCTAATGATATTGTGACATGTCGACCCCTCCATATTTGATGTGTGCATTTGCTTCACATACACTGATGAGTTGCTTTCTCCTACTATTGCTACAGCAGTGAATGATATTTCTTTTCTTGGTTGGTGGTGGTCTTTCTGAGTCGTATGGAAGTTACACTGTGGTGACTGTTCCCTCAGGCTTCCCGCACTCGTGTATGTTATCCTATCTGTTGCCATTCCTCTTGAACACAACTCAAATTAGTGTGATTCCTAACATAAATTTAGGATCTTGAGTTGCCATTAGCCACAACAGCCTTGTGTTAATGGCATATTTAGGGAATGAAAATTAATTATCTGACATTCAAATGCAAATCCTCCAGGGATTCATAGTCATGTGGTAGTACGTTTGTAGTATATTGTTGTAGTGCTTCATTTATCTGCTGTTAAATTATACAAATACTCAACTGCAATAAGTTTCAACTGTTAATTTAAATTCATTGCTGCTAAACAGCATTCGTACTGTTCAGCTGACTTTGTTCTAGGTTATCGAGAGTGATGAGGAAGAAGTGCCATTGCAGGCAGGGAAAGAAGTTCAAGAATCCAATGATGAAAATCAACAACCTCCAAAAAGTAATTCCTAAATTGAAGTTCAATAACCATGTAACTGTACACAACAGTTCATACTTACATCATTTGTAGGCATGTGCATTTCTGATTTTCAAAATCAGATTGAGGAAGAATCTTGGTTTTGTTTCACATATTGATTTTTCAGTCTCAGAGTCTGAGACATTCATGGCTAATTATTTGATATGTGATGTATACACAAGCCTGTTTTTGCCTTTTTGAATATTCTTTAATGATTTCATATTTTGATTTTTATAGTTGATTTGGAAGCAGATATATCTCAGTTGGAGGCTCCAACTTTCACAACAATTAACCGTGGTCCCCCTGAGCCTATGCTTCGTCTTCGTTGGGATCATCGAGTGAATCTCATTGGTGAAAAAGTTCTTAATCCAATGATACATTGTTGTGATAAGTGCATGAAACCAATCCTCATCTATGGAAGAATGGTATATATTGTTTTGAAAAAGTGAAGTAGATAAGTTTTATGAGCATGAGACATGTCATCAATGACACTTGATTTAATGAGTTCAAGCCCTTGTTTTATATTGGTGTAAACTTGTCTTCCCACACTGAGCAAGAACATAGACCGAGGTTGCATGAGAACAGGGTGTTGAAAATATTTGGACCTAGGAGAGGAAGCTGGAGAAAGCTGTATAATGAGGAACTCCATAACTTTTCCTTTCAACAAACATTAGGGTGACAAATTAAGTAGGATGAGATGATCTGATCATTTAGTATCCATGCAGTGGAAGCGAAATGCATACAAAATTTTAGTCAGAAGACCTGAAGGGATAAGGCTAGTTCAGAGTCCTAGACATAAATGAAGGATGATATTAAAAACAGGGCTTAAAAAATAGGATAAAAGATTGTGGACTTGATTCTTTTACCTTAGGGTATGATCGAGTATTATAGCTCTCGTGAACACAGTAATGAGCATCCAGGTTTCATACAGTGTGAGGAATTATTGACCAGCTGAATGACTGTTAGATTTTCAAGAATAACCTGCTTCATGGAAAGAGTTAGGTCATAGTGTTGAGAGAGAAGTTTAATACCTATGCATATACGTGGATTATATTAATTCCAGAGTCAGAAATTACTAGGAACTACATTATGTTGAGATGCAGAAACTGTGGAATTTCATTATTATAAATAGAAAGGAGTATGTAACCACTTGTAGCCTGCACATTTTGTTCAATAGCCATTAATATTACCATTATTATACTGTCTTGATAGTGTATGTAGGTTTACATGTAACTTAAACAGCAACAGTTGCAGCAGCAATATTGTATTTGAACATTTTATAAAGTATCTTAATATTTGAATGTGTATGGCTTTTCAGTTTAATAATATTATATCTTATTCATTAGCAGAAATATAAGTTATAGGAACCCACAATTTATAATCATGTATATATTTCTGTAAACATTTAATAGCCTCGTAACCACTCTACTTGTGAAGAAGACAAAGGAATGCTGAAACATGTCTGGTTAAAGAATAATCTAACTTCAATCAAAGCTTTGTAAAGCTTTAATTGTATCAGATAATAAGGTAAATTAATATTCTAATGAATGCACTCATAAACTAAATTATTAAAATGAATTTCAGTCTATGTGTATATAGAACTACTTACTAGGGCCTCTTTTTTGTGTATTGTGATCCAGTCATCACCTCCAATATTGGAAAAAAAAACATAACATGGGAGAGTAGTTGGATGTTATGCCATATGGTGTGGTAGATGTTTACAGATGTTTTGGAGAAACGTACTGTCTCCATCTGCAGGGTCATGTGAGCAGCATGTCACAGTGTTGGTAAACATCTATCAGACTACACAGTGTAACATTACAGGAGCCAGTACTCTGCACAGTCAGTGCTGTGCAAACCTCAGGTCTTCTATACAAAATACAGGCTTCAAGAAGTTCTCTTAAAGAAGATTTTTTCATGAAAATTATGACATCTGGTGTATTGGCAGATCCACCTGCTGGCAGAATTATTACTACCTGCTGCCAGCCAGCACGTGCAGTGCTCTAGGAGCACATTGTGTTAGCATACTCTTGTGCAGCATCATGATCATTTTACTGGCCCTGGACCCATCTCTACATCTCTGTAGAGTCTTACATGTCACTGCCCAGCACACTTATTTCACCTTCAGGAAATCTGGATTTGATTCTTGGCCTGGGTACAGGCCATGTTGACAGAGACTTTTTATAAGTTTTCAGAGTCTCCAGAAAAATTGTCATACGTTAAAGTCCACAACTGCTTCCTTCCATATAATTATAAATCCAAAATTGTAACCATCCCATTATGCAGTTCTTAATGGTTTAATGATTTGTCTTTCAGATTCCTTGCAAACATGTGTTCTGCTTATCATGTGCAAAGAGAGAAGACAAAGTATGCCCTCGTTGTTTAGAAAAAGTTACAAGAGTAGAACAGACTGGACTTGGAACTGTGTTTATGTGCACTCATGGAGGGACAAGATATGGAAATGCAGGATGCAGACGTACATATCTATCACAACGAGACTTACAGGTAATTTAAATTAACTCCTTCAGGACTATTGTCGCACTAGCATGACCAGCGTTTATATGTCTTGACAGCCTGCTTACTGTCTTTTGTACGCATTTCAGTGCCTTTTCATCACAGGATAATGGCTGTACACACATGTACACATGCTTGTGGCATGTAATGGGAGTAAGAAGAAGGTCTTACTGAACTTGGTTTCTTTGTAAGATTACAGCTTTTACTTTCACATATAAAGTAAAATCCTAGCAGGTTATATATCATGGTGGCTGAACCAAGTACAAGTGCATGCATAAAGGAGAAGGCTTTTCTGCTCCAAACCTGACTGTTGGTGAAGTGAATGAAATTCTTGAGAACTGGAAATTGGAGCAAAATGTTAGAATACTCAATGAGTCATATTTAGATAGTGATAGAGAACCAGAAGGTGATATAAAGGAAATTGGTGATTTTGAGGTTGTAAGGTGTCCAGCTAAATGAAAGAAGGTTTCCAATGAAAATATGTTGTTTCTTTGAGCTAAGGGAGAATAATAACATGTATTTGATTTCCACAGTACATGATTTTGATGCCTCAAGCTCATGTGTTAAACCCAGTATATGCTCTGAAGACACAACTGAAATGGACTGTTTCAAGACCATGCTCCCTGATCACAGTGGATGTGTTCACTACAGAGACTAGTAGTTATGAGCATCAAGTGATTTCCAAATATGATAAAAATGACTTACCTCACAGTCTGAAAAAGTGAACACACACAACCAGAAATGAAAAGTACACTTTCAGTGCTTTGCTAACATTGATGGTTAGAAATAAATGAAACTAGCTGAAAGAGTACTGGTTGACAGATTTACTACTCGGCTCCAAAATTTTCTCAGTAACTGTGGCAAGACACAGATTCCCTTAACAGAATGCTGCATTTTTCAAATAAGGAACAAATAGGAGGCTGACATCACAAGGTGTGTGATGTTTTCAACAAGTTCCTGATGTATTTCTTCATAGCTTCAGTCCTTTTCAAGATTCCTGTGTTGACAAAAGTTAGTGCTGTTCAAAGGAAGGATAAATTTTGAAAAATATGTAAAAAAAACTCGAGGGCACAGGTTTGGAATAAAACTTAACTTCCTCTATGACTGTGAATATGTGTTGAGCTTTGAGTATACACAGGGGAAGACACTAACAATGAATTGAATCCTGATATAGGTGTGTCAGGATCAGTGGTTACTACACTGATAGCATGCATGCACACCCACACACACACACACACACACACACCTACTCATGTGCCAGATCTCGTGCAGAATGAGAAAGGTATGCTGCTACCAGATTGTCAAATGATGATCATTGGAAGGTTTCTGGAAAATTATGAAGAAAGAAGAATCTGATTCAAGGGTGGAAGGTGTTCAAGTGGGGAAATTACTCAATATCTGACAGATGATCGCTTTACACGAGCCTACCGTTCTTGCTAAAAGAATGCAATGAGGAAGTGTTGTGTGTACATCTGCCATAAACCCTATCAAGAGTCAAGAAAGATGATGCATGTGCAGTGAAGGTGATATTGGGTTGTGTGTGGGTCCTTGCTTCAAGCAGCTCCATACACAGAAAAGTTTTGAAAAGACAAAAACAAAGATGTAAATAGTGATTTTTTATTGCATTCAACATTGAACAGCTCCAGAAGGGCTCTTTTCAGAAGATGAGTGCTTTATATCATAAAAATGTAGCCTAAGCAGCTTGAATATCTTAAAATGTAATAAACTGAACTCACTATTCCTAGCCTCTATATGAATAACTGTTCACCAGTTGTTCGAAGTTACTGAATAATTCATTGTGTTATTCAGTTGTGCAGAATGTTTGTGACGTGTTATTGATAGTGCATAGTCTTATACATATGTAAGGGGGTAGTCTTACACATACACTGTTGGACAGCCTAACTGCAACCCTGCTAGGGGCAACATGTATAAGTCTTATTATACATACACTGTCAGTCTAGCTGCAGCTACATTAAGGGCAACTTTATATGCAATGTAGAGCTCCTCACAGGTACAGCTAGATGCTTAAACAACTGAAAGTTGTATTAAACTCCTATTGACCAACCCTGAGGTTTGTTCAGCATGTCACCAACCATATAGTTTTTTATGCTGTCCTGAAACACAGATTGTTAAATTTCATTCAGGAATTTTAATAGGTTTCGTTTGTAGTGCATGATGTTATTTTACGAGGTGTATCAGAAAGTTCCCAGGCTAGGTCAAAAAAGAAATGCTGGCTTAACTTACTCAATTTTGGCTACCATCTCCTTCAAAATAGTCTCCTTGGGGAAGTATACAGTGATCCAATCATTTTTTCCATGCTTCAGAAGGACCGTGGAAGTCATTTTCCTTAATGCTGTGGAGTGCAGCTTGCGATCCCTTTTGAATGTCAGACATTGTTTCAAAATGTCATCCTTTCCATTTTTGTTTTTGATTTGGGAAACATAGTGAAATCACAGGGGTCTAAGTCCCATGAGTAAGGAGGACGGGGAGTGGTAAGCATGATGTTAGTTTGCAAACTCTGTGGTTTTCAGGGCCATGTGGGTGGGCGCATTGTCATGATGAAGGAACAGTGTGGCGCATGTTCAAATTTTCTATTAAGATCTCCTGGCAAACTCCATAACTGACCTCAGCAGGGTCTGCGAGCTCATGGATTGTTCGGCGATGGCCTTTGTTGATGAGATCTCAAAATTCTTCAACATTTTTTGTTGTTTTGTTGGTGCTTGGTTGCCCTGAATGTTCGCTGTCTTCAACTGACATTCGAGCAGCCTTGAAACCTGAATGCCATTCAGAAACTGTTGTCCGACTTCAAGAATGTTCTCCAAAAGCCCCACAAAGCATTTCAATGGTTTCAGGAGCAGATTAACCAAACTTCACGTAAAACTTGATGCAGACATGTTGCTCGATTTTGTCATCCATCTCAGTCAAAATGAAACACACAGTCTAAAAAGCACTCCTGTAAAAACAGTGCATGTTCACAGTGTGGTGTAACATGGCAGACTGATGCAATAGGCTTGCAAAAGTGTGACCTTGGCCTCCTCTCTCATTTTCTTTCACCGAAGCAGTTACAACAATGACAGTCCGAGAACTTTCCAGTACCACCTTGTATATGTAAGACTGTTTTATGAAAAACCTTCAAGTTTTAAATTTTTAAAAATTATGTACAATCATCGAAAATAACCTTGAGCTAGTTTCTTTTATTTAAAGTAATTTTAAAAATTTCTGCTGTAATTGACTACTTACTTACTCATGGAGCTGAGACCTTCTTGAGGAGCCGCCAATTCTGCAGCTACTCAGGAATTTCCCAGCATTTTATGGAACCCGAAGGTTCATCACCATATTCACAAGAGCCCTCCACTGGTCCCTATCCTGAGCCAGATCTATCCAACCCATACCACCCATCCTGTCTCTCTAAGATCCATTCTAATATTGTCCACCCACCTATGCCTGGGTCTTCCCTGTAATTGATTACTTAATTTATTTATTCTGTTATAAAATTCCATCGATCCAATCTAGGCTACAAATACGCCTGACGGATATAGAACCAGTTACAGAGAAGTAACTAAAATACACATGCTATGAAATAAGCACAGGTCGGATCAAACAATAAACCAAACCATTGATCTTCCTACTTCAAAATTAAACATAGCAACATCTTAAATGTAATATCGTAAAATATCATCATACCAAAAGGTAGATGATAACATATTTATGCCAATATAAAGCACTTATGATAGATAAAACCTTAAAATTTCACATTTAAATTAGTAATTACTATTAAAAAGATCCTTCAGTGAATAAAAAGAATTCAATAAAAGGTAGTTTTTAGAGTATTTTTAAATTGATTCTTATTATCAGACAATTTTTTATGCAAGGAGGTAAGTGATTAAATGCCTTTATACCTATATAATAAACACCATTGTTATAGATAGACAACCTTGGTTGTGAAGCGTAAAAATTATTTTTACCTCTGGTGTTAATATCATATAACTCTGAATTTGTTTTAAATAAGGAGATATTATCAATTACAAAAATTAGTAATGAAAATATATACTGAGAATAAAACGCTAAACTCCCTACAGGAATCCCTATTTCTGGAATTTGTAATAATTCTTATGGCCTTTTTTTGTAGTGTAAATATTGTCATGTGTTGGGTATATGTCACGCGACAAATAACTTCATGCCATCTTTGATATAGTGAATTTATTGAACACTCACTCTCACACACACACAATTCCCTGTTGCCTCGTGTTACCAGCGTTGTCCCCTGTTACGTCACCACTTGCGGGGGAGGGGGGTGTCCTGCATAGTGCAAATACGTTACAATATATTGATACTATAAGGGGAATTCCCCCAGAAGATTATACCATATGTCATAACTGCATGAAAATAAGAATAGTAAATCATCCTTAGTGATTCATGGGACACAAAAGGTCTTAAAGATCTAATAGCATAACATGCTTTGCTTAATTTAACCATAAGTCCATCAATATAATGCTTCCATGACAAGGAGCTATCAACAGTAATACCTAAAAACCGAGTATTTGTATTGTTAATAATATATTTATTATTATAACTGGTATCTAATTGAATTGTTTGGCTATTAGTGGTTCTAAATTGTATAAACTGAGTTTTGTTATAATTTAATGACAACAAATTGATATTAAACCATTCATTCAACTGTCTATAAGAGGAAATAATATATTTTTTAAAATTTACTAAATCAGGATTACTAACTATAATGCTGGTATCATCAGGAAACATGACTGGCTTAGAGTTATAATTAACTACTTTAGGTAGGTCATTTATGTACAAAAGAAAAAACATTGGTCCAAGTATAGATCCCTGGGGCACTCCATGTTTAATCTTCCCCCATTCTGAAGAAGTATAAGAATGTGTTAATTTATCATCAGTGAGGACTCACTGATACCTATCACTGAGATATGATTTGATTAGAGCATATGCTTTGCCTACAATTCCATAGAATTTCAGTTTCTTCATTAATAAGTCGTGATTGATGCAATCAAGGCTTTCTTGAGGTCACAAAAAATACTTCCCACACTGTGATAATGAACTTCATTTCTGAATTTGCAGGCTCACATTAATCATCGTCACACAGCTGTGCCAGTCCAGGCCATAGGAGACAGTGCTCAGTTTCCTCTAGTAGTTACAGGAGGGAACACCAAGCCTCAAACTCAGCAGGATGCCATGATGGTTGAAACCTCTGCTGCAAATAAAATGGTTGCTCCAAACCCTCAACGGATGAAGCAGTCTCATATGGTTCCACAGCCATCAGTAGGTGATCCAAGGCTTCAACATGGAGCTATGGTTCCTGTATCAAATGCAGGTTCTGTCCTGGATCATCATCGTCGTGGTCCTCCACAGCCTTCTCCTCCTCCTCCCCCACCACCTCCATTTAACCCTCACCCACATCGTCCTGCAATGATTGTATCAGGATACCCCACCCCCCAGCAGAACCCTCAGTCAAATCCACCTCCAAATATGAGAACAAATTTGATAACTGTTCCAATACAAGATAACAGCACAAGTGTGTTGGTGGACCATCCACCTCCTCATCCGCCTACAGGCTACCATCATTATCCACAAGCTCCTCCACCACAGTATACTCCATATGCAGTTCCCCCACCTGTTGTGGGTCCACCACAGCCACAAGCTGGTTACTATCAGGCTCCACCAGGTGCAGTGGTTGCATATCAGAGTACACAAGTACCACAGTATGCAACTCAGGGTGTCCCTTCCAATCCTGCTGTTGCAGGAAGAGCCCCACAGTATCAAGATCCTGTAGGACAGCAGTATGGAGCTCCACCACCCCAACAGTGGCAACATGGACCTAACAATACTCCTTTCTATAGATAGAAATCTAGACTTGGCAGCAAAATGTATCAGATATCTTGCTACATGATGTTTATACTGGCATATAAGACAGTCTCTAAATTTTTAGTTAAAAAGTTTAAGTATGGGGCTATATGAGCCAGATAAAATGAATCTTAAGATACTTTTAGTTAAAAAGTTTAAGTACGTTCCTATATGAGCCAGATAAGGTGAATCTTAAGATACTGTCGCGTGTTTGGAATCTGGAAGTGATACTTCCATGGAAATGCAATACCAACACACCATTGTGTAGGAATTGCCCAAACAACAAACGCCTTTCCCCGGAGATGAAAGACAACAGAGGGTCATTGGATGACAACAGCAAAACTGAACTGTTGAGAACAATGTTCTGGAAGCTGTCCGCATAAGGCCTGTATAAGGGGGTTGAATGCATCAGATGAGTTAGTTGACGATTGACAGTTGAAGTTGAAGTCTAGCAGCTGAGATTAACCTTTATGAGCCGAAGGACACCGTATGGGGACCTTTAAAGTAAAGCTGAGTGGCCGAAAGACACCGTATGGGTATGCGCAGTCCATGCGTGTGCACAATGTTTTAAAATCTAATTTTAAGATAGAAATTCTTGTTCTACTTACATTATTTCTGGACACCAGCTTTATGAGTAGACTGTCTTCCCTCCTGCACCATCTAACTGAATGTTGCATGTCACTGAATGCAGAGTCCGACGTCGCAATTCATGCAATTTGTCCGTAATTAACTCTGTTTTCCGCACAAAGCACGCACACGCAATGTTAGTCTCGTATTAGCAGGAAGTAAGCCAGTGATGGCGAGTGGTGTCCTCTATTCATAACGCTTATAAAACATCGCAATTTCAACTATGCACCATGGCCCCTTTTCGCATTGAAGGAGTCGAAATTCAGAGGCTGCTCGTAAATCACACCATTCAGAATGCCTTACAGTTTATTCTGAAGGGACCTGGAAGCAAGTGTTATGAGGTGATATTCCAAGAACTGCCTCTGTGTGGATAGTCCGACATACTTGAATAAACAGAGTTTCATAAGGCAATGTAGGATAAGAACTGCCCACACTTGTGTATACAAGAAGCCCACTGACTGGAGAATGTGCAATGAAAACAAACATTCTCTCTCTCCTCCAGATAACACAATCAGACTGAGTCAGAAGCATGCATTTATACTGCAGGAAGGTTTTGTGCAGAAGCTTTATGCATTTTTGTAGACAGACGCTCAAAATTGGGGAAAAAATTTTTTGGAATCAATGTAACAATTTTTACAGATTCTAAAATCTGTAAATTACAGTATCTGATTCTGTACACTTTCTAGATAAAAGTAGCGTTTATTTCGTTCGTTTATCACAAAAATTGTAGAAATCACAGCATTTTGAGTAACATGATTACAATTTTTATTACTCTACAATGGCGGACATTTACATTAACTCCATCCCGCTGCCACTACCAGAATTTAAATAGCCTGTCCCATAAAGGTTAACGGCACAAGAAGAATTGTGATACTGAACTTGATGATAATTGTACTTGAGTGTGTAAAAGAGTGTGTCCAATAAATATTTGCTAAATCCGAGACCTACGTGGACGTTATTTGTCGCATTACCTAGGAGACACGTGACAGCTTGTATCTCAGAAGTAGGTTACCAAGGAAACATGCAACAACATTACATAGGCTACAATACTTTTAGTTAAAAAGTTTAAGTTTGGGGCTATACAGGTATGAGCCAGATAAGTTGAATCTTAAGATATTTTTCTGAACTAAGAATCCTTAAAATCTACAAGTCACCGAATCACATACTGTATACATTACCACACCATAGCATTATTCTTTCTTCATATATTTGGCCTTTATGAACAAAATCACCAGCAGGGAACTTAATTTTTTTAATTGTATTTCTCTTGAATATGACTACTGAGTTGATTTTTTCCATCTGCCATGCATTATAGTACCACTGTAAATCTGTTCTGTTTTTACTAAAACATTTTTTGTGTCTTTTATTTCTACAGTTCATTTATATACCAGATTAAATTTACTGGTGTTTCATCACGTTTCCTACGTTACTTAATGTGTGTTATGTGTTTTGTTAATGTTGTATTACATAGCTATGGAAATTACTTTACAGTCTATATCTACTGATACTTTTGTGCAATATTTTCTTCTGCCTCAGTACCAGATTATTACTTTTCATAAAATGAGCACATCATAATGCAGTTCCTTTCAGTCATATATATGAATGTTGGTTTCATGTAGAGTGAAAAATATGTACATATTACATTTCTTGTTACAATATGCCCATTCTGACAGTCTTCACTGTCTATGCCTGTCCTTTTGGTACATTTATTCTTAGGCACACTCTTTTAACATAATGTCACATATTTGGGGGTGTGCATGACATATAGATGGGTTTTGGATTGATGACTGGATTTATTGCACGGTTATGCAACTTGTTAGTACACTTCACAAACCACTATATGACAGGCTGTGTCTTCATCATCTTCAACTGCCATCTCCAGAGACTCCCTCAGTTCTTCTCTCAGCTGCATGACATCCTTGTTATATAGCCTCAGGGCTTCCTCTACAGAAAACACCATTTCCTAACAGTTCCTCTATTGCTATAGAAGTGTGTTTGCCTTGCTGTTGCATAAAAATGGTAGTTCTTATATTGTTGGATGTCTGTTCATTTCCATGGGAACTTGTTTATTGAGTCTCTGCCCAGCAATGAATGTCTGCTCTGGCTCTGCTACTCCAGCTTTCAAGTGTCATGTTAAAGTATCTAATTTTTCTTTTTGTTCCAATTTTGTAGCATCTTTTCTGCTACCTTAGATTCCCAGGCAGCAGAACAGTTTTTGAATGACTTGGCAAATGTGACTACTCGTAACTTGAAATGAGCTTCACATTTCCTTATGCTACACCAGTTGCCAAACAGCATAATAGTGTTCAGTTCATCTTGATAAATTTTGTCTTATGGTAATTATGGTCATGCTGTCCCACCACACTTTAATTTGTTATAATCTTTATGTTAATTACATATATCAAACATGAGTTTCAGTAAGATATACAGGGTTGTTTTTTGGGTGATTAAGAAAGCAGTGTATTTTCAAAACAGTTACAAACATGAAAAAACTTGAAAAAAAACAAGAAGACTTGTTAAGATTTGCTGGCAGCATTGATTATAATGTATCAGTCACAAGTGGTGCTCTAATCACTGTCACTCATGTGCTTAGATAGGATGAGCAGGGCACATTTGTTGGCTCCCTAGATCCCTGGACCTTACTCCGTGCAACTTCTTCCTGTGGGGAGTGTGAAAGGGCCGATATACCAAACTCCAATGCCACAGTCCATTCAAGCGCGAATTTAAGGCTGTGGCCAGTGTTGATGAGCCACAGCTATAGCATACATGGGAAGAATTTGAATATTAGTATTAGTATTTATTCANATAATGTATCAGTCACAAGTGGTGCTCTAATCACTGTCACTCATGTGCTTAGATAGGATGAGCAGGGCACATTTGTTGGCTCCCTAGATCCCTGGACCTTACTCCGTGCAACTTCTTCCTGTGGGGAGTGTGAAAGGGCCGATATACCAACCTCCAATGCCACAGTCCATTCAAGAGCGAATTTAAGGCTGTGGCCAGTGTTGATGAGCCACAGCTGTAGCATACATGGGAAGAATTTGAATATTAGTATTAGTATTTATTCAGTATTCCAGACATCCACAAGATGGATACAGAACTTGTATTCACTTAGTGCATACAGAGCAATTGCAAAAATTCTTTACATGGAACATTACAACAGTATAAAATATAAATAGTTAGGACCTTAGATTACATAAATAAAAAGTCAAACATGTCATTTAAGAACAGTCATATTAAATAAGAAATCCACAATAAACAATTATGAGTTACAAATAGTAAATAAATCCTTCATATTACTGAAAATAAGATTAATTGGCAATGCACAGGTAGAACCCATAATTATAACAAAACAGGCATTATAAAATGAGTTTACAATGAACAAAAAATCATTGATTGCATCATATTGCATTGATGTTTGCAGGGTAACTAATGGAGCACATCTCAAACATCTCTAGGTAAACTTTACGAGTTTCAATGCAATTTTCAAGTTGTTTCATGATTGCATCGGTAACCAATTTGAAAATACACTAATTTCTTATCACTTATTCATATACAGGGTGTTTCACGACTTTAGGGCATAACTGCATGAGGTGATTTCGTAGGTCTTTATGATCAAAAAAGTTCATAGAAACATGTGCCCGATTTTCAACGGTTATGGAGTTATGACCGTTTTTTCATTCCCGTACACACCTTGTTGTGAACTGCGTCTTATCATCTAGCGGGTCACTATTTTTAGCCAGCTACAGACAGCGTTCTCGTTATCTTGACACTTGAGAGGTACCTAAGGCATGGTGGGTTGGTATGTCCAGCCACGGCTAGTGTGGCGGCTACTGGTGTTCAGAACTGTTCTCATCTCAGTGCATCTGTTACATTCACAGTGCCATTTACATTTTTATTTGAGGAGTATGCAGATATGATTTATGTGTACGGGTTTTGTGACGGTAACTCAGTTCTTGCCGTAGCTGAATATCAGCAACGGTTTCCGAATCGTAGAATACCGAACCGGAGAGTGTTTACTGGAGTTTACCAGGCATTGCGAGATACCGGTAGACTTCCCAGCATTCGTATTGCAGCCGAGCATGGTGTTAATGAAGGCGTCAGTGAAGAAGGCATTGTTCGTATGGTACATCGCAGTCCACGTATGAGCACGTGAAGAATTGCCAGCCAGGTCTCCAGACTTAAGCCCACTGGATTATTGTGTGGGGGGATGAATGAAAGAACTGGTTTACAATGTGAAGGTGGCGATGCGAGATGCTTTAATCAGTCGCATTCTGGACGCTGCTGACCACATAAGAAATAGCCAGCTGAAGGTGCTACGTGCTACCCGCATGGTTCACAACCGAGCGGCAGCCTGTGTTGCGGCCGGCGGTGGCATTTTCGAAAATCAGCTTTAAGCACCAATCAATTCAAATTAAAGGTAATTTCACAAAGTTAACTTTACATTCATACTTTAAATGAATCATGTATTATGCTGGTTTATTATTTTGTTCCATTTATTGTCAGTAATTGTTACCTTCTATTCTGAGTTTAAAACGGTCATAACTCTGTAACCGTCCAAAATCGACACATGTTCATATGAACTTTTTCGATTACAAAGACCTAGGAAATCACCTCCCGTAGTTATGCCCTAAAGCCGTGAAACATCCTGTATAATAACCCTGTGTTACAGTATTATGTTGGGAGTTAAGTGATGCACATCAGTTGTTAAATGTCAAGTTGTATTTAAGGTTCATATTTTATGCTTCACACACGGGACATTCTATAGTTTTGGAGGACGTTTAAGCTTAAGGGTTGTCTTGTATGCCAATATGTATTGTAATTTTGTTTGTATACTGATATAAAAAAATATACCTCACATATGGATGAAATAATTAAAATTATCTGTGGAGGATAAACAAAATAATTTTCTATTTTGAATGTCCGAACAGTCTGTATACAGGGTGATTGAAAGTCCTACAGCCAAACTTCAGGAACCTACTGGGGAGATCATTTGGAGCAAAAAATGTAAATAACATTGTTTGATTGGTCACATTTTTTTGAGTTATGATGTGAGAAAAATACTTTTTCCATTTATGTACACACATTTATTTATTGGATTTAATGGTAGTGAATGAAAAGCAGACATTCTGAAGTTGTTAGCTCATTTCAGATTGAATTTTACTTTAAATTCAACACAAATGTCTGATCGTGTAGTGGAAACTAGCACATGGTTCTACATATTTGCAGTAACTGTTCAAAGTTTCCTCCTTCAGCCCACATGCATGCTTCACAGTGATGTTGAATGGAGTTACTGGCAGGTGCCAGTTAAGGTTGGGCCCTAATGTCTGCTGTAGCTACCAGGATGCAGTTGATGAGGTCATTTTTTATTTCTGTAGCGAAACATTTTGTTCAGTGTGTCTGCCATAACAAAAATCCACTTGGTTCAGATCAGGAGATGTGGAGACCAGATGATCAAACCCCTATGTCCAGTCCATGTGTTTGGAAAATGGTTTGTTCAACCAGTTAAGCTGTTGGTATAAAAAATGAAGAGAGGTGCTGTTATGCTGAAACTACATGCTGTCATAGATATTAAGGGGTATGTCCTTCAATAAAAAGGAAAATATTCTTTCAAGGAGATCAGGACCTTGGATTCCATTGAGATGATTTGCTATCACATCCAGTTACGCACTCATCTACAATTCTGGCCCAAACTTTGCTAATATTTTGTGGAAGTTTCAAGTACGAGTAGAATGAGGATTCTGCAGTTCCCATTCATGTAGATTTAGCAGCTGAGACACTGTAATGTTCTCTATTGTTCTATACAGTTTCCTGTTATGCTTTTGTGCTGTGAATTATTTCAGAGCATTCACAGGGCCATTCTTTAACTGAAGAGAACAGGTTCCAGTCATGTTCTGTTCATGTGATAAGTGTGGAGGCATGGTTTAGAGTATGAATTCATTAATCAAGAAGATATAATAGTTTAAATGATTGTATCATTAAAAGTGTAACTGGTTGTCTTCACTGCTGTAGAAAGTTTCCAAACAGTTTTATTTGTGTCACGGCAAAGATCCACGAAAACAACATGTTAACATCTATTGCCTGGTGGTCATGGCTGTTGACCTGGAGAGACCCCCCTCCCAAAAAAAAAAGATACACAGTTACTACACACCAGTAGGCTACCAGACTTGAGGAAACAATTTATAATAACTTAGAGAATGTTAAGGAAAATTTGGGATGATCAGACTTCCTAATCATTAAATATATATAATTCTGTATTTCAGCATCCTGTTCCAATTGTTTAACTGAACATCCATGTATTTATCATCCGTCAATATTGCAACACTTGTTTATTTACCACTCAATCTTAATTTTAGTTTTAACATTTTCCACTTCGACACAACATGTTTTGGCCCCAAACGGCTATCTTCAAGTGTCTTGATATGTTACAAATATTTTATTGAATTATGTTAAAGCTGCTACACTGTATTAGTCCGTGTTAAAATCACATGCTGTAGTTCTCTTTTCAAGGTGAAACAAGATAAAATCCATTAAAATTTCTGTTAAACCCACGTTATTTTGGTGCATTCTATTTTCACTTCACACGGGGTGTCGTCCAATGTTCCCAGGTGTTTTATTCCAGCCGCTTGCCCATCACGTTCGTAGCCTATTTTTCAGTTATGTCTGCAATATGCCCCTGGTTTGCATGTTTCCTCCACAGTGTGTGGTGTTGTCTTTACTAGTCTATACTACTATATATATATACATATACATACACTGGTGCTGGCTGCTCCCGAATTTGCTTTTTGTTTATCCTGAGTTTCATCTAGGTCATGTGGGATGGATTCTAGTTTATGATGGACAGTACTGTCCTAGCTCAGCCAGTTAAGAGTTCATTTTAACTTGATGGTTCATGCTGTATCAAAATCATTTGTAATTACACTAATTTATCTCAAGTTTTATTATTGTTTACTTTCTCACATTAAGTCTATGGCCCAGCTCAAAGCTACTCAACCAAGCTGATCTGTAGGACCCAAGATACCTGCTAAGGGAGTGAGGTATACAACACGTTATTAAAAATTATAATACAAAGGTAAAAAGGTGCTTAATTTAAGTACTATACCATGAAGACATATAGGGAAGTGGAGGTATAGGTCCACCATTACTGCTGCTTTACCCTCAGGGATTATCACCCATGGTACCTATTCGATAGGAGGCTGGTTGGGCCCCAGAGCCAGTCTGGATGCTATGAAGAAGAGAAATTTTTTCCCTCCTAGGAATCAAATTGTGGCCATCCAGCCCGTTGCTATACCAACTCAGCTACCCCAAAGCCATCATCCTTGACCTTGCATAATATAAAGGTATCTTAATAGAATTCAAGTCATAGTTGACTACTTCAACTGTATCTCTCAAATATGACCGGCCACTTTTGAGGAAAGGGTCATAGAAGAGTAAAAGAAACTTAAAGATTTCCATATTCTTAGTATTTTTGGAATGTGCATTACTTACTGGAAGAAGTCTGAAGTTAAAGGAAAAGTTGCAAAGTTTGAATATTTGGGAGTTTGGATGCCTTTCAAATGTTTCAGATATCAGCATTCTAAAATAACTATAAAAATACTCTTTTAAAATTTATGAGGTATTTTTAAAAAGGTTTTAAAACCAAGAACCATTTGTGAACCTTGTTTTCATTTTCACATCCAGTTTTCATGAATGAGACTTTGGATATTACATCATGGTAGTACACCTTGTATGGAAGGAATTCCATAACCTTAGTTCTTGTTACATGGTAGCATAGTTGGTTGAGGGGCTATGCTACAAGCCAGAAGGTTGCGGGTTCAAGTCCCGATAAGGTCATTGGATTTTTTTCAATTGACCTAACCCTTCCAGCCACACTATGGCCCTGGGGTTGACTCAGCCTCTAACAGAAATGAGTACCAGGAATTAATTAAATAATTTCCCTGTGGAGTAAAGCGCAGCTGGCACATAGGACTGACAGCCTTACTGCCATCTATGAGCTGATTGTCTAGATAATGTGGGACCCTCAACGTCTCACAACCCTATGGGCCTTCATGGCCTGTTACAGGGATAGCTTTACTTTTATGTTATGAATAATCAAGGCAATCTATGCGACTGTTGCATACTGCGCTGCACGATTAACATATATGACAGTGACTAAAAAGAATGCATCTTGATTATTCAGGGAGGGTCCTGCTCTGTTGACCAGTGCACCTCCAATGTGAGGTGCATATGAATTTTGCTGATGGGAGATAATGTTTGGAATTAAGGGAAGTTATTAACTTTGGGGACTGCTTTGACAGCATTATGTTTCATGGTGAGCAGTGCAGTCCATGCATGGGAATTTGTCAGCAGCGGGTTGCAGTTAACAGCTCCACTAGTCATTTATTCTTAATTGCAATTAGCAAGCAGCTATGTATGACACATACATGAAATGCAGATATGCTAGAAAGTGTTGGTGAAAGTTTCATGATGAAAGAGTTCCCAGCAGACACAATCCACAAATTTGGTGAATAAACTCACATCAACAGGACTCTTAGTAGACAAGGAACAAAAACTAGCACCTAGAAAATCGCTGAAACGTGTACCACAAGAGTGTGGAGTGTCAGAGTCTGGTGCAAGAAGGGCAACACAACTGAAGCTTAGACCCTATAAAACAACGCAGCTTAAAGCTGTGTGATCCAGATAGATGGGTTTATTTTTGTAACTGTTCTCTACAGTCTGTCATCAAAGGTCAGATCAATCCACAATTGACAGACTGCGTTTTCAACGCCTCCTGTAATCTGTGAATTGTAACTACTTCAATCTGGATGTCACTGGCCAATAGGCATACTGATTCATCAGCAAAATTTGTATCACAGCTAGCAGTGCACTAGTCACCATGAAGCACAGAGCTGCAAACAGAACCTTCCTGTATAATAAGGATGATATGTTAGAAGCGAAAAAATATCTGTGGGAATTCCATTATGGTAGTATCTGTTTTTGGGAAAGCATTTTCTTCATGTACTTCAATGGAATGAGACAGCTTATTTCACACAAACATAAAGTTAATAACTTCAGAAGAAGAAAGATGCAAATTTTATTAGGACATGATGTTTTACAAGCAACACAGTCTAATGTAGCTTTGCATATTTTCACCAATCTGAGTCAAGTAGCAGTGCTACCAAGAATTAGTTTCATATTTTCTCAAAACTATCCATTTTTCTTGCAGTACTTAAGACTATAAAATAAGTATAAATGTGAATATTTGACCTAATTCATTATTACAGTTCACTTCTGTCCACATCAGCATTAATAAACACATTTGGCATTCGTGACTATTAGTGTGCGCGCATGCACTCTGTATGAACAGTATGTTCTAACCATGAGGCTGTGCATAAGATCATGAGACTAACAGGACGAGCAAAGAGTGCTCCTTATTAAATGCTTCATTCTAATATATCAACAATTAGTTAATCTGTATAAACTGTTCTTTTGATAAAACATACACCAGTAACCTTTCTCATATAACAATGACCATTTTAAATGCATGTTTTTCATCAAATTTTTCCACAGGATATACATGGACACAATTACTCATTAATTTTTTTAATTCAAATTTGTTATTTCTGAAGTGTTCTTATTTGCAGGTACTTTCAGCTCTACAGATGCCAGTGAAGTGACATGCAGGAAAACTGAATGGTTCTTTTATTCCTTCACATGTGATTCTTATACATGATGGATTAAAATTTACTGGATGTACTTCCTATGTATGAATACTGCTGCATTTATTAACATGACTTTAAGGATAATGGTGCTATAACATATACCTGCTTAACTTCCATCATTTACTTTAAATACAATGTATGCAACATAACCTGCAACAATTCCATACTCAGATCAACATTCCTATTTTCTTTTTACAGGTTTAAACATAAACTGAAGTATATCTGATATTTCACACAGATAAATTTTCTTCCCAATATTATGTATAAGAATTTGATGGCTGAAGGAACCCATAAAATATTAGTAATATAGTACACAGTTCTCTGTCCTATGATATAGTTCACCACATTCCAGTCTGATTTTTCATCATCATGTTTTTGACAGTTCAGCTTCCATACTGATTGCTTTGCTTGCTGGAGCAGGTGAAGTAACTGCAGGTTTTGATGATGTTTCTTCTGAGGGCATTGTGATTGTAACACTTTGGCTTGTTAATGGACCAACAGGAACTTTGGTTCTGTCTTGTTCCCAAGAAACTGTTGATGCTGGCTGAGGTTCCACTTTGCTCAGTCTCTCACTTAGTGCCTTTAGTGCAATTTGCCTGGGGGAAAAAAAAAAAGATCACATAAGCATTCTTCTTCTCATAAAAATAAAACAAAATGACAAAAAGACTTCAATAACAAGTTTTGGAAAATTAATGTGGATGTAAATACTTAATTACCATAGTCTTATTCAATTACAGCTTTCTTATTCATTCTAAAACTTTCTGGCAGCCTTCACTAACCCTGTATTTCTTCTGAAGCTATTACTTAGTACTGTAGTAAGCAAATACACAATTACAAAAGAAATTTGATTCAGTGCACACTAAAACAGTTGTATGATTTGTTGTTGGTGCCAATGACAAAATTTTATAGTAGCAATAATTATATGATTATTACTGATAATTTAAGGACTATCCTGCACCAGGAAGTTAGCTATCATACTGACATGTGGTATCAGTGCTTGGAAAATAATTTAGCTCTGTGAACAAATAGTGTTATCTTAATAAGATCTAAAAGTTTGTGATGACAGTACTTTAGTGCAAATATTGTGTTTTTGGACATTATCCATCAACCTGTCTTTATCTAAAAACACACTCCTGTTTCTTTTCAAAACACAACATTTCAGGGACTGGATTCTGTCTCTGTCTTCAGATAAAACCTACTCAGTTGGGCCCTAGCGATAGAGCCAGTCCCTATCTCTGGAGATAGGGACTAGCTCCAGTCTCTGAAATATTGTGGTTTGAATATAAACAGGACGATGGATAATGTCAAAAAACATAATATTTGTACTAGTGTTATGTTACTATGGCATTTCCATATAATTAAGAAATTTCATAATAGTAGTACAGGTACACTGTAGCATAGTTGGTTGAGGCACTATGCTACAAGCCAGAATGTTGTGGGTTCAATTCCCTATGGAATTTTTAATTGACCTAATCCTTCCCGCTGCACTATGGCCCTGGGATCAACTCGTCCTTTAACAGAAATGAGTACCAGGAATCTTAATGGGGGTAAAGGGCAGCCAGCGCATAAGGCAGACAACCTCATTGCCATCTGTGTGCCATCTAGAGAAAATGTGGGAGCCTCAACATCCCACAACCCTATGGGCCTCCACAACCTGTTACAGGGATAGCTTTACCTTCCTACCGTTTACATAATAGTAACAAGTCCATTGTGAGATTTAATGAACGTGGAGTTCTTTCATGTCTGTTATAAAGCAGTGACAATAGATGCTGTCTGGCTTAAACTGAAGAAACTTCCAAGAAGTTGTTGGATTTGAGGTTCTCAGTCCAATGACTATGAAGAATTCTGTCTCCATGTAGTCTGATAGAATTTCACTGATATTTCAGAAGAACATTCTGGCTTCATCTTCATGGTCAAACAGTGAACTAAACTTGTAGCCAGAAAACGGTAAAAGTAAAGTAAAGTAAAGTAAAGCAAAGCTATCCCTGTAACAGGCTGTGAAGTCCCATAGGGTTGTAAGACATTGAGGGTCCCACATTATCTAGACCAGTGTTTCCCAACCTGTGGTCCGCGGACCCCTGGGGGTCCACGGGATAGTTTATTTTCATTAAACTTTATCTTATCATGTTCCTCACACCTGGGATATTTGCAATGTATATCTCTGGCTCTTGAGGCCCATGGTTGAAGTAAAATTTAACGGGACTGTTGGTACCGTTACTTCTTCCCTTTGTAAAGCAGAGGTGAATAACCAACGATTTGTGTAGCTTTTTCCAAGGACATTTTCTTTTGGCGGCCCATTGCATCTCTGACCCGTGTTTCAGGGTGGACTGCTGTCCTAGTACCTGCTGTCCGACCATTCTCCCCTCCTCCCCCACCAAATCCATCCCTCTTTGGTTGGGAATAAACCTGGGACCATTGACCACGTTTCTTATTCATTTCAGTGGCAGAGCGAACAACCCGTGTTTCTTTAGTTTTTGTGCAGTGAATTTTTATAATATTATACAAGTGTGTTTTTCTCGGTGTAATATTCAGTTTTTCTGCTTTTGTTCAAATAATTGAGTTCACAACGAAACTTCTGATTTTCAGTTTGTTCACGATCTTATTTAGATATGGATCGGTGGTTAAAGTGTGGATCATTGAAACGTAAGACAGACGATAATCCGAGTGGATCTAGTGTTGTCGAAAATAGTACCAGGGCAGATAAAGTTCCTTCCCTCAAAAAATCACGCAAATATTGTCCATCTTATTTGCAAATGGGATTTTCCGTTCTGAATAAAGACGGCGAAGACAGACCACAGTGTGTTCTTTGTTGCGAAGTGTTATCGAATGAATCTATGAAGCCGTCGAAGTTGAGACGCCACCTTGAAACGAAACATGGCGAATCAGTTAATAAGCCAATAGAATATTTTCAAAATAAGAAACTGCAACTTTGTGGTTCACAGAATTTAGTTAAGGACATTGTATGTGGAACGAAAAATGAAAAGGCTGTTCTTGCCTCTTACGAAGTCGCCCTTCTGATCGCTAGAAATGGACAACGCCATACAATCGGGGAAGATTTAATTTTGCCTGCTACAAAAACGATAACAAAGAACTTGTTTAGTGAAAAACATGCCAACGAGGTGTCTCTAATATCGTTATCTGACAATACTGTGAAAAGAAGAATCGACGAGATGGCTCAAAATGTGAAAGATATTTTGCTAGAACGGTTACGTCATAGTGAATATTTTGCGTTGCAGTTGGATGAAAGCCACGATATTTCAAATAATGCTAATTTGGTAGCTTTGGTGCGATATGAACACGAAAATAAAGTTTGTGAAGATTTTTTGTTCTGTGAATCGTTACCTCTTAATACAACTGCTGAAGCCCTTTTCAAAGTTGTCAATGACTTCATAACTACAAATACACTTCAATGGGAAAAATGTGTAGGTATCAGCACAGATGGTGCTCAGGCAATGTCGGGAATACATAATGGTTTGGTCGCACGTATCCAGAAAGTCGCACCTCTTGTTAAATGGACACATTGTTGCATACACCGCGAAGTATTAGCTGCACGCCGTATGCCCTCCAAAATGAAAATCGTTCTAGACGAGGCAGTAAAAATTGTCAATTTTATTAAAGCCCGTCCTCTTAACAGCCGATTATTTTCTGCGCTTTGTAATGAAATGGGAAGTGATCACGAACACTTATTATTGCACTCAGAAATCCGATGGCTGTCCCGGGGTAAGGTTTTGACGCGGTTGCTTGAGCTTCGAGACGAAGTAAGGTTGTTCCTCATAAACTCTAAATTTCAGTTAACACACTATTTAAATGATTTCGCATGGCTCTCCTCTCTTGCTTACTTGGCGGACATTTTTAACATCTTGAATACTCTTAACTCGAGCCTTCAAGGTACATCTGTCACCGTGTTTTCTGTGCAAGACAAGATAGAGGCAACAATCAAGAAGTTAAATTTGTGGTGCAGCCGTATCGAGAAAGGAAAATACGATTCCTTTCACATGCTGAGTGATTTCATTGATTCCAGTGAACAACCCCTTTCTAGTGATGTTGCTGAAAGTGTGATTGAACATATGAGGTCATTGGCGTCTCAACTACGTCTGTATTTTCCGTTTGGTCTTGAAAATAACGACTGGATGAAAAATCCCTTTGTAGGCTCTGAATTTGAACTTCCTTCTGCCAAGGAAGTGCAACTTATCGAGCTGTCCTGTGATTCGATGTTCAAATTGCTGTTTCCTTCGTTACCGTTACTGGAGTTTTGGTTCCAAGCTAGGTCTGTTTACCCTGAAATTTCCAAAAGGGCTGTAAGACATCTGTTGCCATTTCCCACTACATATCTGTGCGAGACAACATTTTCTCATCTTGTACACATGAAAAACAGATATAGGAACAGACTTAACGTGGAGCCAGATCTACGTCTGAAATTATCCAGTTCTGATCCTGACATTCGAAAGTTGACGTCTGAAAAACAGCACCAGCCATCACATTAGGTGTTAAATTCATAATTGATATGTTCGTAATCTTCCGAATATCTCCATTTATAACAGTATTTTATTGTCATAAATGACACATTTAGTGTTGTAAAATTTTAAGTTACTGCTTCATTTTTATGATATGTACTTGTAAAATTTAAAAATTTCCATTTTGGGTTTTATGGGGGCCACAGTGAATTAACATTCGGTACAGGGGGTCCGCAGCATCAAAAAGGTTGGGAAACATTGATCTAGACAATCGACTGAAAGATGGCGGTAAGGCTGCCGGTCGCGCTTTACTCCCCAGGAAAATTATTTGATTAATTCCTGGTACTCATTTCTTTTAGAGGCTGAGTCGACCCCAGGGCCACAGGGCGGCCAGAAGGATTAGGTCAACTGAAAAAATCCAATTTCCTCATCAGGGCTTAAAACCACGACCTTCTGGCTTGTAGCATAGTGCCCCCACCAGAAAACGGTACATAACAAATTAAGTGTGATTCTTACTGGCTGCTTGCTTGGTTCATTCTTCAATCCTGAAGAAGTATCAGTGAAATTCTGCTGGACTACACAGCATTATATCCCTAAATATAGTACACTTCCCAAAATTCATGAACAGCTTAAAATTTGACCTATTTATATCTCAAGTTACAGGCAATAGTACTCAACCTTCTCCTTTCCATGTCATGTGGATCAATGCCAGGTAAACTGATCATGATTCCTGTTGGAGCTGCTGCCATATCAAATTTCCGTATAGTCCGGCGACAGATACCAACTCGAACCAAAAACCCATGGACTGTATTGCCAAGTAGTGCAATGGGAGGCTGGAGTACATTTGGGAAGAAACTGAAATGGAATGAAGTAAAATAAGATAATTGTGGACTACTGTCTTCTAGATTGTAACATCATGCAGTCTGGTAAATAAGTATCAATGTTTCAGAGGAACCTATCTCCTAAGTACAGTTATCAGTAAAACTCATATGAACTGAAATTCATACACATATACCTGAATTTTAAACAAGAAAAATATTTGTTAAAGTCACAATAAACATCACAAGAGCTTTTTTTAGACCAATACTCATCAGCAAATCGTCCTCACAAACCTGTCAAAATTTGCACATCTGCCATGTTCTCTACTTTTCGTTAAAAAAAAAGGCACCTAGGAGCACTATAGTAGCAAGTGATGTAATAGACATTGGTATGAAATGCATAATGGGGTCAAACCTGGCAAATGTAAAGTTGTCTGCCATATCACCTCTTGTTCCATTACTGTGGTACTGATAGAACCTCAAGTAGGTCCAGCTGATTAATAATCCTGACAAAAACATTGCTGGGTATGTTCCTTCTAGTAGGCCAACCAACCAAAAGATGAGAGACATAAAGAACACACTCAATGGAATATTTCGGTTCGTTAATTTGCCAAGAGGAGTTTTCACAAGCATGTGATCTGGCATAATTTGTTTCACTGCCACAGAAACACCAGCAATGTAACCGGCTAAACCATGTATGTGTACAGTGAACAACAGATCTGTATTGAAAGTACACACATATAAAATTAGGTAGAAAAACGCACTAAGAACTGCAACGCCCATGTTGACAATTGCAAAAAATGTCATCATTTCCAATGCCCCCCACAAAGGTTCAATGAGTTTTCCACACAAACCAACTGTTATCACATCCACACATACTTCCCAAAAATGGATTTCAAGAAAACAATATGTAAAAGCAGTCCAAATCCAAAATACAGGTGGCAATAGGAAACCTGGCGTTACACTTAATACACGGACTGCCTCGTCAGAGAAAGACAGAAAATAACTACATAGTACAACAATACAAATAAATTTCACAGATGCACTAGTATTTCCTAAAAGTGCAAGAAATTGTTGTCTAATGAATGGGATATTCTTGCTAAATCCTTTGACAGAAGCCATTTCTAACCAACATGGCAACTTCTATCGGCTTATCATGAGAATTTTCTCACTGCTGCTCGATGTATGAAAAATATATCAGTCGTATCTCACACGGTCTCACATATGCGGACGATAGTTATTTTGGGATATTTTTGTCTGCACTAGTAAATTTGGAGTGCTTGAGATGTCGTTTCTCTGTAGGTGTAGGTCTTTGTAATCTTTGTAATAGAACCCAAGACATTTATGTGATCTATGTGACCTGCGGTTTATTAGTAGACGAATTCGAACAAGTTTAAATCCATTCTCTAAGACCTCTAAGACACACTGCTTGAGTGAAATGGGCGAAGAAGTGCCACTCTAATTTTGATTACCGTGTAAGTGTTCGTACTTTCTTTGATTAGGTAACTTGTGAAGGAGAGTGTTCTTTGAAATCTAAAACCATCACCCCAGTAGGATTTGTAAGGGACGGTAATATTCGTTAATTGTGGATGTCACAATATGCGTTTTGCTTATTGGTGCTATAGTTTCATAAGAAATGTAATACGTATCAGATCATCAAGGTATTACAGTGGGTTTCCACATTATTCTGATACGTAGTACTTACACATGGAACAAGATGTTATATTGTAAATAGGTTCTAACTGAAGTAAAAACTGTGTCACTGCCTGAAACGGGGAAAAATATTTTTATTACAGTGCTGTCATATAAAATTTTGCTTCATAGTTGCTGTTGTGATGGAATGAGAACAGGAGTTAGCCAGTAGCTAGATTAACCCTAGCTGTTACTGGCTTAAAATTCACCATGTCAGGAACAGAAGCAGGTGCATCATTGGATCAACATTTATTCCAGCTGACATGCCTTATTTCAGCCAGGGACATTAAACTTTCAGCTCACAGCGAAGTTGGAAACAGACAGTTACTTGCACTAGTCATGGGGTAAGTTGAACTGGATACTGATGTGTGGCATGATGCTTAAAATGTATTTGGGAAACTCCTTAAATGAGATGTGGGAGGTGCTGGTGTAGCCTGTGTGAAAGAGTTGTGGAACCTCACTTAACGAGCATAATTCGTTCCAGAATCTTACTCGTAATGCGAAACACTCGTTAAGAGAAAATTTTTCCCATATAAACTAATGTAAAATACGATAATGCATTCCATGCCGAAAGAAATACTCAAAAAATTTTATGTATAACGTTTATTCAAAGAAAATTATATATACATTGTTAAGGAGTGTGAATCATCTTCATCTTTTCTTCTATGCAGAATGAACCAACCTGGAATGCGAATTCGGTTTGCAGAAAACAAAAAAAAAAATCTAAATAATTAGTTTATTATTTATGATACATATCAAATTCTTTTTTACTAGAAAGGTGTCTAGAGACATTTGTTTTTGCCAACGCTTCAAAATTGGGTGAAAATGCAACACAGCATTATCATTAAATAAATTTGTAGCGTGCACAGCCACTGCCTTATTAGGGTGATGCTTCTCAATGTCCAATGCAACAGTTTCCCATGCTTTCAGCATTTCTCTTATCGCGCCAGAAGATTGTTGCTTTGTTGTTATCTCCTCCTCCTCTGACAAAGTCTCCTCCATAACTTCTTGCTGTGAAACACAATGGACCTCCAAATCGTGCAAATCGTTGATGTAGACTGATTGTATGTGCGTGCTAGATCAGCCACACTCACACCTCGTTCTCGCTTTTCAATGATTTTACGTTTCATTTCTAAGGTTATTTTTATTCTCTTATGGCTGTCTTTTTGCGGCTTTTTCTTCAGGGACATTTTTGCAAGGGTTATTAAACTTTGCACAAAAAAAAGTCTCAAATAATATGTCTGAACACAAGTTTGGAAAAATGTGTGTTCACAAGCGACACTAAGATGCTAGCGGAACGAGTGCTAAACACAGACTGATGTAGCAAGTGCACAATCCAGGACTTCCCCTCTTGTCACTCGTTATGTGAGTCATTTTTTTACAATTTGTTTTGTTCGTTATGCGAATTACTCGTTATGAGAGGTGCTCGTTAAGCAAGGTTTTGGTTTTGTGTGTGTTAAGTTACTTTCCTCTATATTTTATTTTCAGTGTGACCATGGTATTAAATTAGAATCGCTTCATAATAATTAGTTAAATTTTGTATCTGATACTTGATTTGGTCAGAAGTAGATATGAGTTAGAATGTTTTCATGAAAGTTAGCCTGCAGGAGTTAAGTAAATGGAGAAAGGAGAAAATTCTTAATTTTCTCTTTGTCTAATAAAGCAGGATGGTCAAAATAGGTGGGTCATGTTGCACAAGATACATCCAAAATTTTAGTAGGGACACTGTGTAATAGGTTGCTTTTGATGTCAAGGGAGCAAAAATATGGAAGCAGATCTTGTGGGAAATAGGATCTGTTATTGTAAATCAGATTTAACTGACTGAAGACAGGGGCCAGTGGTGGGTTCATAATACTCTGTTGATGAATACCTGTTGTCTAGAAAATAACTTATGTATCTTTAAATAGCCTTGTGTGTAGTCACTGTGTATTCTTGGTTTCTCTTGTGTGAGAACTCCATTGGGACTGTACATATGTTTTGTATTTATATGACATGTTCCACATCCTACAGTCATTTTGACTAACTTTGGATCCAGGCAGTGCAATTGGAGCTGAATATTTTCCTCTATTTTCCTATTTCCATCAGTGAGGAAATATTTTTAATGACATTTGTTCCTATGGAGGATGCACTGGTTAATGATCTTCTCTTGTGAAGGATTTATAGTTGCTGGCAAAATTGAATGCACATAGCTAATGTTGGTGAATAGTGAACCATGAGGAACAATATGAAGGAAAATAAAATGTTTGATGTAATGATGAATGTCCACGAGCAGGTCCAGAAATATCAGTCCATAATTTAACCATCAGTTTGGAATCTCAAGAACATGAGATTCCTGTGTGGTAAAAATGTTATAATGAAAGGTGTGTGGTATAATTATTAGATAAAGATTCATCCATATGTTACATTTACAAATTAACTACACAGTTAACTTCAACAGCCCTTGTCAGAGAGTCTTTGGTTTTAAGTTTCTGTGTTTACTGACAGCTGTTGGTTCCTTCTAATTGGTTATATAAACAGGATAATAATTGCTGGTGTACATGCAATCATCCTTAAATATACATATACCCTCAGCATTTGCATGTCATAAATGCATAAAACCTTTGCTTTCAAAATCAGCAATTCCTGACAAATCTTTAGTTTGGAGTTGTTTCATTCTTACATCATTTAATTGTTCTGTTTCAACTGCTGAAATTATCTGATATTGGCTGGAGTAGGCAGATGATTGTGGAACAGTAGGCTTTCTTGATTCCTGGGTTATTTAATGACACTAAACTATAGAAGTTACAGTTTCTGATGGGATGGAATGTGTTCATGAATTGTGAGTAGGTGAGAATGTGGAAGGATGTGATATACACTGTTTGAAAAAACTACTCTTGCTGTGTGCCTGGATAAACGAAAGGCTGGGCCAGAACAGTTTGTGACCTGCCCAATATTCTAACCACATGTTTCCCAAATACAAGTTAATGTCATTACCATTATGTGACTGCCCACTAGTAGAGTGTTGATGAGATTTTGGAAGGGGGTGGTGGCATTGGCCTATTTGGTGGTGCTGTCCTGACATTTGCTTGAAGAAACTAAATGTAACTGCAGAGAGCCTTAGGATAACTGGTTCTTAAGCCAGTATTTGAACCATGTATCTCCAGAGCACAAGTCAGGCATGATGTCATATGCCAGCCTGCTTATTATGTACTGAGTATGAGAAAATATGTGGGTTCATCATGAAAGACAGTGCTAGCACATACAATGCTGACAGCAGCAAGTGATAAGTCATACATTGTATCCTCTGCATTCTTGCTATTTAAATCATTTTGGAAGAAACCAGAGAATGAAGCTAACCAAAACCATCATTACATAGGAAGAGTTGAAAGAAACTGTATTAATTTCTGCTATACTGAGGGGTGCAGTGTCATTTTTATCTCTGAGTACCTTTGTAAGCTGTGTAATATATGTGTAAGCAAAGGTTAATAACAGTAATGTGTCTTGCCACCTGCTTATGGTGGTTTCTTTCTTGGCTTAGTCTTTTGACATTGAAGATGGAGGTGACATGTTCCTCCAATATGTTGGTTGTGGACTACGCAATGTTATATTCCAGTGCGTAGAACTCTTCGTAACTACTGTGAGAACCTCCGATCCCACATAGTTATTTTATTGCTCTGGTTTTACACTTGTTTGTAACTCTTTTATCACATGTGTGACCCATTCAGCTATAGTGGTCATGTCAGTGTGTAAGAGGTGAACCTTTTAAAATACAGTGACCCATTATTTGTCTTACACCATAACAGCAGCATATTATAGCATGTGAAATATATGCACCTAGTTTTGCTTCAGAAATTTGAGGCTCTCACACTGGTGAATGTAAAGATTATTGTCTTCTTGTATGTGACGGCATGTAGTCTGGTGTAAGCATCAGCATTTCAGAGTAACCTGCTGTCTTCATCTTCAGGGTATCCAGGGTGCCCGGAATCATGTACTATTCATCTTCCTCTTGCCTTCCTCCTTGGAAACATTTTTATTCACCTCCTTCTCCTCTGGAAGACATTCTTTTTCCTCATTTCTGTTCTTCCTAGTATTTTATTCCACCCATTGGCACACGGTAACGTAGTTGGTTGAGGCACTGTGCTACAAGCCGGAAGGTTGTGGGATTGAATTTTGATGAGGTCATTGGATGTTTTCAATTTACCTAATCCTTCCAGACTCACTATGGCCCTGGTGTCAACTCAGCCTCTAACAGAAATGAGTACCATGCATATTCTTGGAATGTTTTTGGGGTGTAAAGGGCGGCCGGCGCATAAGGCTGACAACCTTACCGCCATCTCTGAGCTGATTGTCTAGAAAATATGGGAACCTCAACATCTCACAACCCTATGGACCTCCATGGTCTGTTACAGGGATACCTTTACTTACCCCTTTTAATGGCCTGAGTTTTCCATGCAGCTTATTCTTTTGTGGAGGTGTAAGTTTCCTCTAGAATTCTGGTAACTTTCTCCCAGGCAATATGGTGTAACATTCCAGAAGACAGTAATCTTTAGTTGTACTTCTCATCACTCATTGATGTGTGTGTGCATGTGAGCATCTTTTTCCACTTTCTTATAACCCCAGGTTTGCTGATGTGTTCCATATTCTTCATGTTGTAAAGTGAGGTGAATTGTTAATGTTTCACTGTTTGCTGCTCTTTACCACATGTATATTTCTTTCATGTCTGTTTGATAGTCATGGGTGGCTTGCAAAGCTTATTGCACCAAAGCCCCAGTAACTGCCTCTTAAGGTTCCTGACAGGCCCCATAAGCTACCATAGCAGTGTGCAATACTGCATTTACACTTTATCTTGTCCCTACTTCTAACACTGTTCATCCGTTCCCACCACTCTCATGACAAGAAAATGGGGCTGATTTTCCTGATGCTGAAGATGTTGACTAAATGAACACTTAAGAAACCACAGGTCTGTGTGCCATCTTTTGATTTGGTGTTGATAAAACGTGGACCAATAACAATCATTCCATTATAGTTTAGTGTTGAGGTTGCTCCTGTGTTTGGTGATTGCACCATGTAGAAGCGGTTTGTATTTCAGATGTTTTCAAGATCATTACTTTCTCCATATTTAAGGCGAAGTGACTACCCCATAGAATCTCCAAAACATTGGCCGTGCAGCTCAATTCTGTGTGGTCCCATACCCCAAAACATGATCATCACTGTTTCATTATAATGTTATTTGTGTTTTTCATTCCAGTTCTGGTAATATAGCCTTCTACTATTTATCAGGGGAGGCAGATGAGCTTCCTGTGATGAGACAGATACCATGGTTTATGGACAGCAACAAGAGAATAACAGCATTGTGTTTTGATCCTTCAGGTTCTTGGCTTCTAGTTGCTGGTGAGGTGAAGGTTATGTTGTTTTTACATTTCCAGTTTTGATCTTGTGAACTATTTTTATATTTTTTTAAATTAAAATAAGCTGTACACAACTGCTATATTGTACCTGTTGTTTGTAGCAGGATCATCAGTTTTTGAAGGGACTGGGACTGTTGTACAATGCAGCTAGTAGCTACACTATATAGTGTTGAATGGTAGAATGCCTGATGAATTGGAAGTGATTCAGAAGGAAAGGGTTTGTAGCGCAAACAATGTAGTATCTTGGCATTTGCTTGGAGGGACTGAGGAAAACAGTAAAAACCGTAGTAAAGATAGCCAGTGCCCTTATTGAGATTCAAATTTAACACCTGCCAGATACAAGTGTAGAGTCTTCCTGCTACATCAGCCTTCATGGTGATTACCATTGTAACTGCAGCATTTCTGTTTATACATCTGAAGTTATTTTACATTCCTTATAAATTTAATTCTGGCCACAGGGTAAAATTTTATGAGCTTGGATAGCTCAGTCAGTATAGTGGTGGCTGTTACCTGAAGAACCGGGGTTTATCCTGGCAGGAGTAGGAATATTTCTCTTTGCTACCATGTCCAGGCTTGCACCAGGATCCACCCAGTGTTCCCTTTAATGGGTACTGGGGAGACTTTTCGGTCTCAAATAAAGTGCTCAGAACATGAAGCTGGCCACATACCTTCATATATCGCTGAGATGGTCAGTGAATGGAGCTATACTTCCACTCTGCCTTATGTTTGACATCATTTGTGATATGGTGTAACATTTTTTCCCTGCAGATACTGATTGTATTTTCATATTAATAATCCTGTTATTGCAAAACCATTTTTTTTATGTTTTGCTCTTATTGTGTTGGATTAAATGAAATCAGAAAAGAAAGGCCCTTTATTCATCAGTTAAATTAATCAAACAGTTCTGAAAGGCCTGGAGGTATGAATTAGAGGAATTTGTCATTGTAGAGTTTTTTGGTTATAGCATTTTGTTGAAATTTTAAGTATAACTGGATACTGAAGGAACTTATTGCTCCCATCCTTAGAGCTCAAGGCTTAGAAACATAGTGATTTTAAAATGTTGACATGCTGCAATGCCCAGAAGACGGCCTAGTGAATATGAACCTTCACAAGGACCCGATATCCCATAAAGGAATTTATACAAAACTAATGTAACACCAGTTGAGTATTTCACAGTAAGTTTCATCATTTGTTGTATAAGTCTGCATACTGTTAACTTCATGCGTTTTTATTTATGTAAAAGTGGTAATGTGGTAATGTACGTACAGGAAAACGAATGCAATTAAGGTCATGTTATGTATGTTATTACAATACATTCTTGATTTATGGATTACTGTGGGCGCAAAATTCGGTAATACTCTCCTGTTTCTAGCTTTCGAATACACCGTTCTTTTAAAAAAGTGTTATTTTATATATTACACCTTTTTTTAGTTACAATCGAGACATCACATTTCATCTTTTTAAATTTTCAGGTTATGATGGCTCAATTTTCATCATTCCAGCACTCTCCCTGGTTGATCCGAATGCTGTGTTAGATCATCGATGGTCATCTACTGATTTAACATCATTTCCTTCTCCATTATTACATGCTAATCCTTCAAATTCTGGTATCACAAATCTGCAACGTTCCTACCCCACATCAATAGTATGGTGGCAGAGCCTGTTGGAGTGTCATCATATGGCCATCATGGGAACAGACTGTGGGGATATTATTTTTATTAGTTTAACCACAGGACTTCAAGTTGGTATTACTTTTATCCAAGCTACTATAGCAATGTTGCATATCTGCCAGGACGACAGCCTTGATTCTGTTTTCCTCTTGGTGAGTTAGTGTTCATGTTGACTTAAGGTTCATCTTTTATAATATAACATTTCTGTCTCTTCAGGTTTCTCCTTTTTATCCTCTCTACTTGGTAGTTGCTACGAGGCAACATAAGGAATATAATGCATGAAGTGATCTATGTTCGCCACTGTTTTGTTACTGATGACCATATGTGGTTTAATACATGAAATGATCTATTTAGTAGTTACAGGCTTGCCAGCATGGTTGTTTTTGAGCCAGTACACATACCAGCAAACATATCAGAAGTTAAAAAGTCACACATCTGCTGGAGCATTGTATGCTTTGATGTTAAGGTTAAAACTCAGCGTGAAAGTACCAGCAACCCCCCCCCCTTTCGTCTTAAAAAAATGAGCTGTTTATCACCATGCAGTGAAAATCCTGTAAATAAACCAATTTCATGTGCTGGGTGTCGTTTAATTTTTTGGAACGTGAATTTAGTGAAGTAACAATAGTCCACTGTTTTTATTTTTTTTTCTTTTGCATGTATAGGCTGACTGCCTGCGTGGTCTAGTGGTCAGAGTTCCTGGCTACAGATCCAGAGGTCCCGGGTTCGATTCTCGGCGCCACCACATTTTCTGAGAAGAATGGAATCCACTCAGCCTCATGAGGATAATTGAGGAGTTATTTCAAGGAAATGGTGGCTCTGGTTTAGAAAACTGAAATTAACAGCCATGGGGATTCGTTGCGCTGACCACGCAAGACCCTCTGTCTGCTAAAGTTGCCACTAACTTTGCTGACAAGTGGCGGTTGCTTGGTCGGTATAGTTTACTTGTGGACTAACACCACGGAGTTTGGTTTTTATTTGATGTATAGGCTGAATGTAATATAGTTACAAGCTGTAAGTAGTAGTTTATTAATGATGTGTAACATAGTGAATAAGAAGTACATATTTGTATCAAGTTTACTGTAACAGAAACCTTGGCAAAAAAGGATACTTCAGCTAGTTTTACTATATATTTTATTTTTAATTTATTGTCACTTAGTGGCTTAGACTGTATAGCATTGCAAGATAGCATGATTAATGAATGATTAATTCGAGAGGATGTGGCCTGTTTGAAAACACTCTTAATAATCAGTTAGTGAATTGTGCAGTGAATTCTTCACAAGTACATGTTTGTGATTCTTACGAATGTGGGAAAGCCGAATAATAGTTATGATGTAAGCAAGCATCACATATGAAGAATTAAAAAAAAAATGGACAGAAATTCCTGCTTTACTGAGGAGAAGAATCCTCTATAAGTTTCTAATAAAATATTAAGATGGGCTGGTAGGGCGTAAGGTTCCAATATTTGTATGGATTTTCTTTTTCTGGGAAATCACCGTGTGAAAGGAGACAAATTTCAAGACAAAGGCACAAGACAGAGGGCAGTGAATTTTATTTAAATAGACTGTGATGATGAGTCAAGGCTGAGGTAATCTGAATAGGGTCCTGCTATGGCACCTATTCCAGCAGGATTTCATGATACTAGGGTGTTTTGAAGGTACATGTGTTCTTCAAAATCTAAACTGATAATTTGTTTAACATCCATAATAGTTACACAGGCACAATTGGACTGATCAGTTAAAATATCCTAACAGTACATGTCAATAACTCAAAATGTACAAAATGATGAATAATAGAATCCCTTTTTGATCAGTAACCCCTTGCTATAGCTTACCAACCATGGATGACAGCTCCCAGCAGTTCAGTATAAGGGAATAAATATACTTAAAGCACCAAAAACACAAGTCAGCCATGTGAAACGAAGCATCACACATCAACTGAATGCAGTGTCATAGAGAACTTTTAAGGATAACTGATTCTTTTTGAAAGCCCATTCCCACAAGTCTGTTCCTTCTTTCTGCCATTTAGATCACAAGTGACAGCAGGTCACAGTGGAAACTACTGTTGGAACAGCGAGAAACAGGTTATGGCTGGCCAATTGATAGTTCAGGTTCTGCAGTTAAAGTTGTCACATCAAACAGTGAACCCAGCTCCAGCAGTCATGCCAATCTGGGTGAGTTTAGCAGGTTTTTAAATATAGATATAATGTATATGGGAATATGAATTGAGTAAAGAACTGTTCCATTTAATTGTGACAATTGTCATTGGTGAGAGGCACTATGCTACAAGCCAGAATGTTGCAGGTTCAAGTCCTGATGAGGTCATTGGATTTTTCAATTTACCTAATAATCCTTCCAGCCGCACTATGGCCCTGGGGTCTACTCAGCCTCTAACAGAAATGAGTACCAGGAATGTTCTTGGAATGTTCTTGGGGGTAAAGGGCGGCCGGCATGTAGGGCTGACAACCTTGCCACCATCTATGAGCTGATTGTCTAGGTAATGTGGGACCCTCAACATCTCACAACCCTATGGGCCTCCACAGCCTGCTACAGGGATACCTTTACTTACGTTGACTTATTTGTCATTTGTGCAGATTAATACAATATGGCATACTGTTCTTTTAAGGTTTGGAATTTGGGAACAGAAGTGGTTCATACTTACCTACAACAAGATCCAGATTGCAGGGTTTGAAGCAGCTTTCATTTGAGAAGTTGATAAGTTTGCGACAGAGGCTGGCAGAGACAAGGTCAAAAGGAGCTTCAGCAATGGCAGTAAATGTCCATTTTCGAAGAGGTAGATATTTTTTAAAATCTAGATTTATGCATGTAATTTGTTCAGGCAACAGGTATACACCGGGTGTATACAGTATCCCATGCGAGTGCGACAAGGTCTATATTGGGCAGACAGGCTGTTCTGTGGACACGAGGTTGAAGGATCATCAGCAGCACATCTGTCTCGAACATCTGGAGAAGTTAGCTGTGGCTGAACACGGCATCGATTTGGGACACTGCATTCAGCTTCAGAATACTTCCATCCTCGCCACCAAGACCTGTTATATGGATCGCATCATTAGGGAGGCGAGATTGAACTCCATCATGACAATGTGAACAGAGAGGGGGGGTTTGTCTCAGCAAGTCATGGAAGCCTCTCATCTGTTCCCTCAAGAAAACTCCGAGATATGATGCCAGATCCACAAGGCTACTCAGGTCCATCACAGCCTCCAAGCTGCAGGGTTAATGCCCTCCATTTAACCTTCCCTTCTCTCCACCTGACACATACTGTATACCTGCTCTGGCCTGCTACCTGCTGGCCACTTAACCAGACTCTTTCCCCTCCCCCTCTCTACCATTTCCCTGTGTAGCCCCACTCACTTCCCTCCTCTTATACTTGTACAGCTGTGTTTACTCGACTGGACTCAGTCTGTTGCACCTGCTCAAGCTGGTTTGCTCGTGGATTTCTTCTTGTATTCTACCCTGAAGATGGAGGTGATACATTCCTCCAAAACGTTGGTTAACACAATTTCTACATGGCGCCACTGTGAAAACCTCAAATCTTACAACAGTTATATAAATTAAGCTATTATTACATATTTCCAGTGTTATGGAATTGTTATATGAACCTTTTTCTTCTTTAACTAACTCCCTGGAATTGGCCGCACCATAGCTCAAGTGGTTAGTCGCTTGCCACCGCAGTGGCAGGGGTTCAATCCTGGGTCTGGTCAAGTGGGATTTGTGGTGGACAAAGTGGCACTGGGGCAGGTTTTCTCCAAGTACTTCGGTTTCCCCTGCCAATCTTCATTCCACCAATTGCTCCACATCACCCTCACCTATCACCTGGGACTGGTACAATAGGCCAGATGTGGCCGCAGTGCAAGGGACTTAGTCCCACACCACTAGCAATAAAAAAAACTCCCTGGAATACAGTCCTTGTGTAACCAATGGCTGCCCACCTAATCAAAAAATTATTTGTCGCTTATCACTCAGTCATGGAGCTTCGCCTTCTTGAGAACCCGCCAATTGTGCAGCTACTCAAGAACTTCCCAGCATTTTATGAAACCCAAAGGTTCGTTACCATGTTCACAAGAGCTCTCCACTGGTCCCTGTTCTGAGCAAGATCAATCCAATCCATACCACCCCATCCTATCTCTCTTAAGATCCATTTTAATACTATCCACCCACATACATTTGGTCTTCCTAGTGGTCTTCTTCCTCCTGGCTACCCCACAAATATCCTATATGCATTCCTCTTCATCTCAATTCATGCTACATTCCCTGCCCATCGCATCCTCCTTGACTTGATCATCCTAATTATACTTGGAGTAGAGTACAAGTTATGAAGCTCCTCATTATGCAGTTTTTTCCAAGCTCCTGTCACTTCATCTCTTTTCAGCCCAAATATTCTCAACAACCTGTTCTGAAAAACCCTCAGTCTACATTCCTCTCTTATGTCAGAGACCAAGTTTCACACCCATACAGAACCACAGGCAAAACTGAAGTTTTGTATATTATAATTTTTATGTTTTTGCACAGCAGACGAGAAGACAGAAAGTTCTGGACTGAATGGTAGCAAGCACAACCTGAGTTCAGTCTCCTCTTGATTTCCTCCTGAATGAAGTTTTGATTTGTTATCACAGTTCCCGAATATCTGAACTGTACCACATTTTCAAACATCTGTTTCCTATTGATATGTTGGGTTTTTGGACTCTATCCATCGTCCTGGTTTTTAAGATAACAAATAAAAACACGACGTTTCGGAAACTGGATCTGTTTCCGTCCTCAGGTGAAGGAAAACACCTATTCAGTTGGGTCCCTTAGAAAGAGCTAGCCTCAATCACTGGACAAACCGATGTCACAAAACATGAAGATTATAAAAACCTGAGACCAGGCTAAGTCCATGAGAGCTAATAAGAAAAATATTCATAACAAATTGTAGCAAACACCATATNTTTTTATTTGTTATCTTAAAAACCAGGACGATGGATAAAGTCCAAAAACCCAACATATCAGTGTGTTATACACCATCGTCAGAATCCTATAGTAACTACTTGTATAACCGGTATGGACCCGGTATTTACCCTTCTTTTAGAAAATTAGAACGCCTGAAAATTCAGTTAGCGAAAACCCTCAATCATATAACTTTCCTCAGGAGATGCAAATCTCAGGGTATCATCCCCAAAGCCTTCTCTGTAAAGACGCCCTTCAATAGTCGACGGACCTCCAAAATTGCCTTACGTGCCAGCCAGGCACTTCTTAGGGATAGGTTACACTATCATTGGCATAAGAAGACTTCCCAACTATATGGTGTTTGCTACAATTTGTTATGAATATTTTTCTTATTAGCTCTCATGGACTTAGCCTGGTCTCAGGTTTTTATAATCTTCATGTTTTGTGACATCGGTTTGTCCAGTGATTGAGGCTAGCTCCTTCTAAGGGACCCAACTGAATAGGTGTTTTCCTTCACCTGAGGATGGAAACAGATCCAGTTTCCAAAACGTCGTGTTTTTATTTGTTATCTTAAAAACCAGGACGATGGATAGAGTCCAAAAACCCAACATATCAGTGTGTTATACACCATCGTCAGAATCCTATAGTAACTATCTGTTTCCTATCTTTATGCCATGATTTTGCCCTGCATTATGGTGATGAGACAGAACATCTGCTTTGTTTTCTCTGTATTTACTTCTAGACCAACCTCCTTACTTGCATCAATTAAAGTGTGTGTTTTTTCTCTTTGTGATATCCATATTATCACCCAGTAGATTCACATCATCAGTATAGACCAACAGCTGATGTGTCCCATTTAATTTCAATTCCACCTGGTTTTCCTGGACCTTCCTAATGGCATATTCTAAAGCAAAGTTGAAATGAGTGGTGATGAAGGATCTCCTTGTTTTTGACCATTCTGGATAGTGAAATTATCAGGCAAATGTTTACCTATATGGACTTTACCATATGTTTTGTTTAAACACATTTTAATCAACCTATCTACATAGTTTTGTGGGTACCCCAGATTGTGTCAGAATATTGTACAATACTTCCCTCCTAACTGAATCATAGGCTTTCTTGAAGTCTATGAATAGCTGATGTACTGTCTCATTGTACTCCCATTTTTTTTTTCTCCAGTATCTGACAAATGCAAAAGATCTGATCAGTAGTTGATCTGTTATTTTGAAACTCACACTGATGATCCACAATAGTTTCGTGTATGTATGGACTCAACCTTGAGAGAAGAATATTGGATAAAATTTTGTATGAAGTTGATAGCAGTGATATCCCATGAAAATTAGTACAGTTTTATCACCCTTCTTGTGAACTGGTACAGTAATAGACTTCTTCCACTGAACAGGTAATTTTTCCTTATTCAAAATAGAATTAATTAGCTTATGGATCTTAGAACATAATATATCACCTCCTGCTTGAATAAGTTCTGCCGGAATTTGATAACTTCCTGCCGATTTATACCATTTCAATTTTGCAGTAGCAATTTCAACCTCAAAAGGGCTAGAATCGGGTACCAATGGCTCAGCTGTATGGATTTCTATCTGCCTAACATCACTGACCCTATGTACATTCAATAACTGAAAGAAGTAATTTTTTCACCTATTCAAAATATTTTGGGAATCTGCAAGCAGATCACCGTTCTCACCCTTCACTAAGTTACTTCTAGTTTGATGACCCTTCTTATTTTCACATTTTTTTTCCATACTGAGAAATATTTCTGTAACAGACATGTTCAGGTTCCTTTCCCTCTTATTAAAATTTTAATAATTTGTGGAGCCAAATAGTACACAAAAACATGTTTTCCCATATTTGTAACCTCTATTAATACTTAATAATGTGCCTGATACTGTCTTTCATGACTATGTAGTCTGTCTTTATGAACAAACAGTTGTTCCATTTAATCTGATAATTAAGTAATTAATCTGTCCCACTTAATGGGACACCATTATTCTGTAGAAGTTAATGTTTAATGATAAATAGTCAGTTAACAGCATTAGTTAATTGACCTGGTACTATAATGTTACATGAATTTCTTAAGACATTGCTTTGACATCTGATATTAAGAATACATTAGTTGCGTGCTCTTTCTCAGAATATTTACCCTGAATCTTTAAGATTACACAGTTTACTTAAACAGTGTACCTAGTATTAGTGCAAAAGTTGCATAGAATGTGGAAATGTTTCCATTTCAGCTTACATTACAGTTGTTATTTTAGCACTGCAGTGTTTGTCAGTACATTGGAAAGCCTTTAGCATTCTACAGTGCTTATTCCTGAAGGCTGACATTATATATGAAACCCCATCCATGAAAACCTAAGGACAAGAATAACTTAAACAGTGTTTTGGTTCCTTTGGCCACTAGAAAGCAGTGGAAGCAGTATTGATGATACAGGATGTTCTTCATACTCGGCCTCTGAATCTACTGCTGCAGAAGGCTCTGATATGCCTCCTGTACACCATGTTACCACTGGACCACAGCCTGAGAGATTAAGTTCAGAAGTTGGTGACACATTTCTGTGCCCTCAGTATGCAAGAGGTCGGCATCTGCTTTCTGGGTATCATGCTCCTACTAATATCCTTTCGGTAAATATTATTGTGACAAAAACTATATCTTATTTTAGATATCTGAATATTCATTACATTAAGAGTGGTAGTTTCATTTAGTCATCAGCTCAGAATAGGAATATGGCTTTATGGGACAGTGGACTACATTTACATACAATTTGTCTTGCATTACCAGTGGTTATTGTAGGTTGCAGACCTAGTAGTATCACAGTTTTCCAAAAAGATCTGATAAGTTTGGGACGTTTATATTCTGTTCTGTTCTCATCATTTCTTTTTTCTGTATGATATATTTCTGTATTATGTGTTGTCAATTTTTTTCATACTTTATGCAGGTGGTTACCACTATTTTTAAGAAAGATATGTTGGTAAATTAATATTCTTCCTAAAAGTAATTTGGTCATGACAGTTAACCATTTCTTCCTAGGGGTGGTATATTGAGGAAAGTCTACATAATTACATCCTAATTACTTTCGTCTGAAGAGGCAGGATATAGTTTGTTTGTTGAAGGTATCTTGTTACAGTGTTAAAATTAGAATAAGTACACACTTAATGGAATTTAATTACACATACACCACATAGGTTATGGACATTAGGTATCTTTTGTGTATGTGTGTGCATGCGTGCGTGTAAAGAAAATGTGTCAAATAGTCATTTCATAGTAATCTTTTCTGTGTTACTAATCAAGTATGTAGTAGCATGATTTCTTATTCATGAATTTTGGTAAATATTATTTAAGATCAGAAAATTGATGTCAAACAGCTGTGATGTCATGAGTTAACACAATTATAGGGCAAAGTGAAACTTCTAGTTCCTGTAGCTCTCACACTTATCAGTTGGAATGTGCCACCCTGGTATTTGCAGTATGCCAGATTTGAAAACTGTTGTTTATTTACTTCTTATAAACATAATTGATGATTCTGTGTTGGTATTATTAAACCCCACAGAAGAAAATATCCATATATATTAATAACATTATGAGAATGGAGGGTTCTCTCTACTGGGATATAATTCATTGTAGCCTATTGAGAGTCAACAGACTACATGGCATTGTATCCTGGAAGACAAAACTCCTCATAACCACCACTGTGAGAATCTCAAATCCTACAACATTATGGAAAAATTGTTGTTTCCATTGTCTGAGTGGAAGGTGTGTAGTGACGTTTTGAAGGATGGCTCTTTTCTCCATGTTCATGTAAAAGGAAGGGTGTGTACTCTGTTAGTCCATTAAACAAAGCTGATATTTATATTGAATTGCTCGGAGTTTTCATCCATGGTTGGTAAGCAAGGGGATGTTGGTCAAAAAGGGATTGTATTGTACATTGTCTTATATAATGTTTTGTACATTTTTAAGAGTTGTTGACATGTAATGTTTGTTTGTTTTCACCTGACTTGTCCAGTTGTACCTGTGTAATGGTTATGAATGTTAACTCAGTTATCAATTAATGCTAGGCTTATAACCCTATTTATAACCCTATGCGCAAATCAGCTCGCTCTGTCTTCAGTAGTCTACACGTTGACCGCAACAGTGTTAACAGATTAATGCGATTAGGGTTATAAAGTGTGAAACCCCGCAACTGTGTAATAATTAATTGTAGCAGTTACTTGTAGATTGTTGAATAAACCAATTAACGGTCTCTACGGCGTATTCAGTAACGAAACACGTTACATTGGTTTTTTTACTTAGAAGAGCTGCAGAACTTAATGGCTTTAGCAACAACATGCCCTTCTTGATACAGAACCTACTTCTAGATCTATTTTACTTTCTAATGATTTGAAATAACTTTTTCTGATAGATCCCACAGATTAGATACCAGTTCCTTCTTCTTAAAGATGGAGGCAGGGCCAGTCTTTGATGTATATCATACATATTGTGACATGTTGTGCAATGGAGGACAACCCCTCTCTACCCAGCAGTGACGTGGCAACTCTGGCCACAGTGACGTGGTGGATGAGTCAGCGCTCTGTCCCCCCCCCTCCGCGGTGACGTAAGACCCAACGCAGCTGTGACACGGGTAACAGCCAACAGCAGTACCGATTGCATAACAGGCAAGCACTGCGACTGTATAAGTGAACCACACTGCCTACGGAGTTGAGTTGAAATGTGGCCGTTGCCGAGTGCAGTTGAAGTTAGTTAAAAAGTGTATCAGCCGCCGAAGTGAGTTCTCGAGCCAGCAGCCTACGAGTTGAGTTGGAATCTAACAGCAGTCATGGAAAGAAGAACCGGACGCGTGTGTGAGAATTAGTGATAGTTCGTGATAACCGAGTAATAATTGGGAGTGTGTGATACAGTGACACTTATATAGCTCCCTTATCGTAATTAGTACGTGTAGCCTAATGAAGATAGAGTGAACAGATTATTGCAAATAGGGTTATAAAGTGCGAAACCCCGCAACTGTGTTATAAATCATTGTAGCCGATACTTGTAGGTTGTTAAATAAACCAATTAACAATCTCTATGGCGTCTTCAGTCACAAAACACGCTACAATATTTTTTATTCAGACAATGGATATTAAGAGACATTTCTCCCATAATGATATGAGACCACTGTCACAATCTTTAAAACCATATTTCAGTAAGGTGAGGAACAAAGAAAAAGGAAGTTTAATAGAAGATACAAAAGCTGGTTCATTTTGCTTGAGATTCTGTTGGTTATGAGAGCAGGCAGAATTCCTGACTAGGTCCCATGCTCAACATCATTGCTACTGTATACCATATGTCAGGAAGTTTGTTTTCTGAATCATTATGTGTAGTTATTATTTTATGTTTTTGCAGCCTTGCTGAAAGGTGACTGGCTGTATACCAATACATGAATGCATATTAAATAATTTACACTTAACTCAAAAAGTTATCCAAATTTATATTCTGTATCTTGTTTAATTGTTCATTGCCATATAAATGTTCTGAACCCTGAAGCCATCAGACCAATTAATATATGCATGTATTAACTTATCTCTAATTACAGATGCATGTCCTACATCTGATTATCTTATGCTTTCATGCTATATTGTGCATATTTATCTGTGTGTTCACAGATTAGTGAATAGGATTTTTTCTAAGCTCATTATAAGTAATCAGAATCTTGTCTCTTTTCTTCTTTTAAAGATTCATGGGATGAGTTTGGATGTAGTACCCCTGTTTGTTCACAAGTTGGCACAGCAGTGCAGAGATGTTCTAGTTACAGACAGATTTTTGTATGTGACTGACATAAATGGAAAGAACTTGTCAGTTGTATCATGCCAGTTGTCTGAAAGTCGGATTGGTGGGGAATCTGTAAGTAGTTTCCAACTTATGTTTTCTTATTTATTTGTATTTACACACTAATGCATTCTCTGAAAAGTATGCATTCCTTAAAAGTTGTTCAGTAATGAAAATTCATTAAATGATAATTTACCATTATCCAACTTAAAATTTGTTTAAATGACAGCCTGCCTTTCATCACAACGNTAATTTACACTTAACTCAAAAAGTTATCCACAATTTATATTCTGTATCTTGTTTAATTGTTCATTGCCATATAAATATTCTGAACCCTGAAGCCATCAGACCAATTAATATATGCATGTATTAACTTATCTCTAATTACAGATGCATGTCCTACATCTGATTATCTTATGCTTTCATGCTATATTGTGCATATTTATCTGTGTGTTCACAGATTAGTGAATAGGATTTTTTCTAAGCTCATTATAAGTAATCAGAATCTTGTCTCTTTTCTTCTTTTAAAGATTCATGGGATGAGTTTGGATGTAGTACCCCTGTTTGTTCACAAGTTGGCACAGCAGTGCAGAGATGTTCTAGTTACAGACAGATTTTTGTATGTGACTGACATAAATGGAAAGAACTTGTCAGTTGTATCATGCCAGTTGTCTGAAAGTCGGATTGGTGGGGAATCTGTAAGTAGTTTCCAACTTATGTTTTCTTATTTATTTGTATTTACACACTAATGCATTCTCTGAAAAGTATGCATTCCTTAAAAGTTGTTCAGTAATGAAAATTCATTAAATGATAATTTACCATTATCCAACTTAAAATTTGTTTAAATGACAGCCTGCCTTTCATCACAACGGCATATAAGCAACAGCAACTTTGATAGAGTTCATTTTCCTGATATACTGTACTGCAGAATGAGATGTAAATTACCATCTAAGTATACCAGTTTGTTTACTTTTACTGATTACATGTTAAAACTCCAACATATTTGAGACACAAGACCATCCTGAGGAGGTGTACCGTATTAATGGGAAACTTCACAGTTCACATGCACATGTTATGCAGAGGCTATGAGACCATAAAAAATGCTGTTGTCAAATTGCATGACAAGTTGTGAGAAACAGATTCCATGCTTGATAAAAAGAACGGATATCCAAAGCCAAAGCATGCTGTCACAGAACAGAGACTTTAGTATATTTGAGTGAGAATGGAAATAAGTTCAGGAAAATCAGCTAGGACAAGAATGTGACATATAGAAAATCTCTCATTTAAGGGATCTCAATGCTCTTAGGTTTTATTCTTACAAAATGTTGGTGGTCCAGAATTTGATTCCTGCAGATCCAGTTGTGTGCATAAACTTTTGTTGTTGGATGTTCCAATCTGCTCACAGTGAGATTGTTGATCCAGTGCTTTTCTTTTTCATGTGTAGTACACCCATTAGTACTCTGAAAATTCTCATGCAGTACACAAAAGTCCCACTTCATGACCAGAGAGTGGGTGTGTGGTGTGCAGTTCGTGGTCAGAAAATAATCGGGGCTATACTCGTATTTTTGTATGACACAGTGAACTCAGAGCATAATGTAAATGGTATTTGGGAACCATCCTTTCAAATTCTCACTGAAGGAGGGAAGCAGTGTCCACATTTCCGGCAGGGTAATGTAGTGGCCCGCACATCACAACATTCTGTTGAGGCTCTTTGGGAAATTTTTGGTGAAAGGATAATTAACCAGGGACTGTGGCCACCTCATCTACCAGATTTGAGCATGCACAGTTATGCATATGGGGAAGCTTGAAGCAGAAAGTGTACAGGAACAATATGCATGCCCTAGAGACCCTCCATAATGAAATTAAGGTTGTAATAAGGAATGTTACAGAAGTTGAGCTACAGCAAGTGTCTTAAAATTTCTAATGTGAGTGCCAGATGTATTTTGATGTGGGTGGATACCACTTTCAGCCACTTCTTTAAAATACAGATGAGTAAGACAAAACCATAGTGTAACATGAATCAGGAAGTTGTGCTCATGTGTGAAACTTCATGCAACAACCCCTGCCTTATGTATTGGCTCTGGCAAGGAAAGCTGCACCCCAAGTTCCGTTACAGTGTGGATCACTTAAGTTTTTACCTCACTGTATATGGCAGCTCTTGGTGCTATTTTAATTAATATTTCATGATGAAAGGCCATGGTTCAGAAGGGTAACAACTGTGTTAAATGAGTTAACTACTGTTATACAGGAATAAATTTACATTTAAATCTTTATACACAATCAACAGATTATATACTAATAATAAAACAGAAGATGTAACTATGTTCAGTTGTAGACAGATTTGGGGTATCATGTGATAAATGGAATGTACAAATAAGTCCATTTTTGTCTTCAAGGACTGCAACCCAGACTCTGTTATTGAAACGTTTGAAATGAAACATCCAGATGAAAAGATTCTCGCTCTCTACAAACGAGGTTACTCAGATGATCATCATAGGAAGCCGTCAGCAGGAGTTTCCAGCAAAGAGTCATTAATAGCTGAAAATGAAGATTTTAGTCCACAAGTGTCATCTGATAAAAAGATCCGAAGTAGCAGTAGAGAAAAGGAGAAAAAGTCATCTCAAGTACCATTCTGCCTGCCAAAGAGTTTAAAGGAATTAAAACTGGATATGCCTTCCGTTGATACCTGTGTCATTGTAACTACAAGTGGTGTTTATGAAGTTGCTCTCAGGTAATATTTCTAGTTTATACTTCACAGACTTCTCTGTCGATATATCATGAACATCATTGTGAATAAGAAACATTTTCAGGCTAACTCAGCTCTGCACAGTGTTAGCAAGGAACAAGCATCATGTTTATGGATTAGTTGCCAGCCTGTCACGTTTTCAGAAATGTGCATAGTAAGCTGGCTTCAAAAGCAACCTCCGTAGTCGAGAGGTAACGTTCCCACCTCATGACTCGTGGTACGCGGGTTCAAATACCCGGCGGAGGTCGTCGAATTTTTAAGGGCGGAAAAATTCAAGGAACAAGTTCTCCGGGAGGGACTTTAAGCTGTGTGTAACTTTACGGCACGTAAAAGAACCTCATATCCCCAAAGGGGATCACTGAGCCAAATTCCAGGACGTTTCCTGCCCAACAGTAGTCTTTAAGGCCTCTAATAAATGGGGGAAGCATTATAGACACTGCTAAGCAAGTGGCCAAACTCGCTTGCTCAGCGGGACTGTTGGTACGCACCATTTATCGGTAGGGTATAGAGACTGGTAGAATATCATAGAGGGAAGCACAATAGATCAAACTGGTCGCGGTGCATGGGGAAACCCACCCTCTCTAAATAACTAAATAAGCTGGCTTCAACATTTTTGACCATCTACCATCTAGCCTCAGAAGTCTTATGAATTAAAAGGCAGCATTTGAAGTAGCACTAACAAGATATTGTACTTAAATGCACATTCATGGATGCATGGATGGATGGAAAAGTTCTGGCATAGTTTTCTTATTTGTAGCGCCTTATTTAATAGAAACTTATCAACACTCTGATGTGACGAAGGTAGAACATTCTTTTAAAGTAAAAGATGCGGCACAAAATAGTGATTGAAAAATTAAATTGAATCTTGCATTCTTATTTCAACCTCCACTGCTGCCTAATTTCAGGTGATTTGTTTCAGAGGTTCTATACACAAAGGTGCTGGTACAAGTTAGTGTTGTTTATTGCCAAAGGGAAGAATGTTGTGGGTGACAGACTTTTAGTGTTATCTCATGATATAAGGTATACAAAAGTATATAAGGTATGCCGTCTACACAACAATATTCTCTATTTAAAAAACAAAGAAGACTCTGCTGTATCAACATTTGCTTACATTATGTTTTTACAGACACAACATATTTCGACCCTTACACCAGATCATCATCAGGCACACAATGCTCCAGTTTGAGCTGATGAATTGCAATTAATTATCATCAAATTCTTCAAATAAGGATCCTTATTGTGTCTTAAAATTATTTAAATGCATTTTTGGTCAAATGTTTTAAAACTGAAAATCCTTAGATAATAAAATTTAAAATTAAAGACTAAAGATTAAAATATGAAAGTTAAAATTTTTTTTTGTGGTAAGACTCTGGATACTTCTGTATATCTTATTTATGACACACAACAGGATGCGCACTATTAAGATTATCTCATGATATTTGGTGGTTAGGGACTGGAGCTTATGGAGTTGGCCATGTTACATATGTTAGCAACTGTATATTAGCTGAATAATGTTTTGTTTTTGGTTAATGTTAGCTCAAATTAATAAATACTAGATGAGCAGCTTATTTAGGATGTGGAAGGAAAGAAAGAAATGTATATCACATTTTGACTAGAAAAACCACGCGAGAAGAGAGGGAGGCCCGATGGTAATGGGAGGATAATATTGACATGAATCTAGTAGAAACAGGTCGCGAAGAGAACAGCTACACTGCAAACTTGGTTTTTAATATTTTGGTTGCGTGAAAGTGAGGAATGTCTTGATCACTTGAGTGGCCAGCTGCTTGAAACAGTACAGTGAACCCTCCATGTAAAGTTTCTTTGGGGAGCACTCAGTTGGAACACTAGATTGTGAGATATCTTAAGTGGATAAACTTTGTTGCTTACATTACTTACTTGGAATCACTGAAATTTAATGTTAAATGAGGGAAATCCTCATATCGAGGAACATCGAATGGTGGTTCAGCACAGTTGGTACAGTTAATGTTCTCTTTTGTGTCAGGCTTCCTCCAGCAGAGGTATTCATGGATCTTGTCCTGACCTATCAGGCAATAGAGAGGGCTGAAAGACTTGCAGTGGTGTTTGGATTAAATTTTCAACAACTTCTGGAGTTTGCTGGTGATCTCAAACTCAGTGCAAAGGAATTTCCTCAAGCTATTTCTCTGTACAAGGTTTCCAAGGTATGCAAAGAAACACAATGTTTATGTCATATTTTATAAGATATAAATAAAACTAGGCATCAAGTTATAGGTTTTGTTTGAGTTCTTGTTTAAATTTCAAAGAATCTGGTTGGTTGTAACCTTTCATTTCTACACATTAGAGAACTGCTCTGACTGAATACATTTTGAAGGTTGTGGAGTATTTTTGACAGATTAATGCAATCGATTGATGTGAAAAGTACAACTTGGACTAAATGTTCTGTGAAGATACAATTATAGTTAGATTTTAAATAACTACTGTATTTTGCAAAATTGGTGAATGAATGAGAAATTGATGTGGTATGCATATCAACTGGAACATGAATAAGAAATAACAGATAAAGCACAACTAAACAAATATGAATTACACAGCATGGAAACATAAGCTTAAAGACAGCAAAGTAGCTTTGCTTGGAATGACAGTGAAAGTTGGTAAATGGCCTCTGAAATGATAGTTTATCCATTCACTGCATATTCTCACATAATTGAGTGAGTGTAGACGGGATTTGGATTGGTAATCAGATTTATTGGACTCTTAGTCAACTCATGACTACATTTTATAATCACTATGACACACACACCCTCAAGTGTTCTAAGTCATTGTCTTCATCACGCTACTTGGTAACGTCTTCCAGCAGTGAACATTCCTCTGTTCCTGGACTCATGCCATGACAGGATGGTGGCCATCTCACACCAAACTCTACTCTTCTAACTGTTGTCTCAAGACTATCTTATAATGACAGCTGGTCTTTGTTATGTAGCCTCAGCATGGGCTGCACAGAAAACACCATTCCTCTGTTGAATGTGCAGTCATTATGCTGGTGAGTTGTTTAATATGCCATAACCTAGTAATGGCTCCCTCTTCTGTTATGATGTCACATTGGTCCCTCCTTAAGACTGGTCATCCCAAGTGTTAATTTTTATTTCCATTTGTTCCTGGCTGGTTTCTGTCCTGGCCTTCATCTCTTCTCAGGCATTCCTTTCTTCATCCCAGGCATCCCTTCAGGAGACAAGAGCATCTATTCATGTTTTTATTTCTCTTGACTGTCCATATATTTTCTCAAAGGATCTCAACTTTCTCGTTATTGGCCTGTATCTTGGCTTCCAGCCTTTGTTGGTTGGTTTTCATTTTGGCTTCCATCTTAACCATCATTTTTTCTTTAATTTCCTTTAGATTTTCAACTGTTTTTGTGGTTACCCTCCATCCTCTGTTGATTGGCCCATGTCATGGCTTCCAGTCTTCATGTGGCAGCTACCAGATGTTCAAAATTCACCATAATTATCCATATCCTGGGTTCAAATCTGATGGCACACAGTTCACAACTCAATCCAGTCCCATTTTTGACAACAGTTGTCATATGTATGAGTGTTGCTATAGGTGGGTTTTTGGATTGGTAGTCACATTTCTTCTGGTCACTCAGAGAGCTCTTGACTACACTACACTGCGCTGCTTGGTAACATCACCCAGCAGTGGACGTTCCTCTGCTGTCAGGCTCACATACTTGGTAGCTAGCAGCCATCTCACACCAACCTCCACTCTTCTAGCTACTGTCTCAAGACTCTCTTGTAATGGCAGCTGACCCTCATTATATATCCTCTCCATGGATCACACAGAAAACGCCATTTCCAGCATTTCTTTTGTTGGGTAATGTCACTATCTGCACAGACCACGCAGAAAACACTGTTCCTCTGTTGTATTTGCAATCACTGTTAACACTGATGATTTGTTTACTGTGCCATAACCGTGTAACAGCTCTATTTTCTGTTATAATGTCACAATATTAAAAATGCATTTTGGTTCATAGTAATAACAGTATTGAATTACCTACATTTTGATTATTTCACTGAGTACTCATGTTTCAGTATTTGTTAGGTTCATAGCCTAGTAACCCTTTGCTGTATTGTTTAATTTCAGTGTACTGTATTGCTGTCAGACAGTTTAATTTACACATTTTTATACCACAATTTGGACTGCTAAATATGGCAGGAGACATCTAATTTTGCTACATCTTACTGCATTAAATGGAACAAAGGGTTAATGGTGGTTTATCATCTGTAGGAGTTTTCACAGAGTGAGATTATTATACAGGATGTTCTGTGACATATAGACCAAATTTCAGGATCTTGTCATTTGGAGCAAAAAGTATCTAATAAACTGTAGGTCAATTCATCACCATTATTGAGTTAAATGATAGTGGATCAAGCTGAAATGCAGTAATGACTGAGTTCCTGCTTGTACACTGCCTGGGCTAGTGTGGGTGCATTGCAGTGCAGTTTTAGCTCAAATTCCTAACATTTACTGATGAGGAATATGTTAACATGTATTTTGTACACAGTTTATGCAATGAATATGGTAGGTCTGTTTTGTTGGAATGCTGCCAACGATATCCACGTCACAGAACTCCACATCACAAAACATTTGAGAACAGACATGGAACTTTGAAGGGGACTGGCTCCTTCGCATGAGTGAGTGCAGGACATGAACAACAATGGTGTGGAAATGACGTCATTCTGGCAACAGGACATTGAAGCCCAAGTATACACAGAATTTGCAGGACAACCAGTGTAGCACAGACATGGGTGTGAAGAATTTTGCACCAAGATGGTTTATATCCATATTGTCTCCAAAGAGTACAACCCCTCTTACTGGGTAATCACACTAACTGTACATGATTTTGTGAATGGCTGCAACCACCACATTTTGGCATTATGGTAATGGAATTTTTTAAACAAAGATTAGGAAGGAAGAGGTGAACAGTGGCTTGGCCTGCTCAGTCTGCTGGCTTAAATGCATTGAGTTTTTTTCAGTGGTGCTGCATGAAGTTGAGGTGTATCATAATGGTAAAACACAAGAAAGGCATCAGTTAGTAGAGGCCATACATGACTCGACAGTTGGTATCAGAAGCGAAATATGGACACATGAGTGGCAACATTCAGTGGCACAGTGATTGCCGTCATGCATGCAGTCTAATGGTGGGCTTTTCAAACATGTATTATAATAACATTGAGTGTACTTGTTATAAGCATTTAAAATGATAACAGAGCTGAATTGAAAAGACTTTTTTCTTCTCCTTTGCTGCACTAAGCTAGCACTCAATGATGGGGTCTAATAAACCTATAGTTTGTTAAATGTATTTTGCTCAACATGACTTATAAAACACCCGCTGGAGGTCAGCCAGTACATTCCAGAATATTCATGATGTAATGTATTCCTGATTATCTCTGCATATAATAGCTGATTTTTGGGCTGTATGCTCCTTTCTTAGGTGAATTCACAACTGTATAGTGCTTATTGATTTTGCTCAGTCTGTCCATGTGTATGCATAAAACACCTTAAGCCCCCTTGGACTGATTTTCTTAAAATCTTTTATTGGAGAATTTTATGAGAAGCAAAGCCATATCAGATAATGTTAACAAGCACTTTACATGCACAGATCTTAATCATAACTTTCTCATTATTTATCAGAGTGAAACATGTTTTGAACAGAAGTTTTAGAGATAAGTGAAATACACATGTACGCTACACTTTTTTTTTGTGTAAGATTAATCAAATCTGACACTATGGTTACATTTCCAAATTTGTATGTTTAACAGTCACTATGGTGTCTTAGTCACATACTAAAATGGCCAAAATGAAAGGAAACCATAAAATATCTTTGATTTTATCCATGTTTTCTCATTATTTGCATATAATTTTCCACTTCATTAGTGTAAATAATCAGGAGTTTTCTGTACTGCAATACAGTATTTCTGCAGAGAATGATGAAACCTTGAGTACAGCTGGTGTACTAACCAAGATTTAGTCATGCTATAGCTTAAATGTACCTTCTCAATTATATTATTGATAATTTAGTGTTATTACTTACCTACAGTGCCGACATCTGAAGAGCGTTTTGAAATTTGCTGCTGCTGGTCATGCATCAGAATTGCTAAGCTACATTAAATTGCTGTTTTCAACTTCTGGCCTGGATCTTACAACATCAGAAAGAATTCATTTATCAAATCTGGCAGTCATGAGTCACACTGAGCAAGTGTTGAGAGCAACTGCAGGAAGAGTTGTGCTTTTGAAACATTTTTTGTAAGTTACATGAATTACCATATTTTTCAGAGTAGAAGATGCTTCTTTTTCTCCCCCCCCCACCCCCCTTTTCTTTTTGCCTAGTGTCTATATGCATCTTATAGTCTGAGAACTGAATAATACTCTGAAAGTTTGAAGTTACAAATGCTGTTATTACTGTCGTTGGGAGATCGGAAATTTAATATCCATTGGAACCTCTATATAATGTCCTTCAATTTTAGTTGTATTTTATTTATAATGAATAGATACTCTAAATTACTTCTTCTAAATGAAAGAAGAATGTTGTATTATCGTTTGATTTATCCCATTCTGTTGTATGGAATCATATTGGTACAGAGTGCTATGCCATACCTCAGGCTGTTAATCATTGGCTTCACACTGCGGTGGCCCAGGTTTGATCCTAGGTCAGGTCATGTGAGATTTGTGGTGGAAAAAGTGGCACTGTAGCAAGGTTTCTCTGAGTACTTCAGTTTCTCTTGCCAGTTCTTATTTCATCAACTGGTCGACATTCATCATCATCATCTATTATCCAGGGCTGGTACATTAGGCTAAATAGTGACCAACATACCAAGTGGACTCAGTCCTCACCCCACCCCAAGAAACTAAAAAGAAAAAAATATACTCACTAGAAGAATATTTGAAAGTAAAAAAGTAAAAAGTAAAGCTATCCCTTTAACAGGCCATGAAGGCCCATAGGGTTGTGAGACGTTGAGGGTCCCACATTATCTAGACAGTCAGCTCAAAGATGGCAGTAAGGTTGTCAGCCTTACGCGCCGGCCGTGCTTTACTCCCCAGGAAAATTATTAAATTAATTCCTGGTACTTATTTCTGTTAGAGGCTGAGTAAACCTCAGGGCCATAGTGCGGCTGGTAGGATTAGGTCAATTGAAAAATCCAGTGACATCATCGGGACTTGAACCTGTGACCTTCCAGCTTGTAGCATAGCCCCTCATCCAACTACTGTTCAAAAAAGGACTAATGCACACTGCAGGGTTCAAACAGTTGGAACCATGCAGATGTAGTTTATATCACAAGAAATAATGACTGTCATAGATATGTACATAATTTAGAACTATATAAGGGTAAACCATTAGTAGTAGGTTGTATCCTCTGTAACAAAATGCCTGACAACATAAAAGAAATAGGTGACAACATCCAGTTTAAAAAGGAACTGAAGAAGTTAGTTATTAAGGGATGCTGTTATTCAGTAGAAGGTGGTTTCAATGAAGAAATCTCTGCTGTTGGCTCCTGATATTAAATGCATAGAATATGTTAGATTTGTATTCAATATTGTATTTTGATAATATATTGTCATGTGTAGGGGGGTAAGCATAGCAAAATGACCAGTTATAGTTTGGATGATTAGATTTATTAACAGCTTGGTTACATGCACACACTCGATTACACTCAAATTACAGCGCTATTGTTGATTTACACACACTTCAATTCACCGTTGCATACACACTAGGATTTTCTCTCTTCCACTAGTCATTTCCTAGCAATGGATCTCCACACAGGAATTGGCACTTCACTCATGTTGTATATTGTTGATCTATCACCAGTAACAGTAATTTCAACACATTGGTTACCAGGTTTGCTTCTCCCCAATCTGGGTACTTCTAGCATGTCCATCCCAGAAGCAAGTAATTGTACTGAAAATAGTAAGGAGCTATAGAAAGGAAAAAACATACATAACACACCTACAAGCATTTTACTCCATGCCTAAGTGCTTCACAGCTATTAAATTGGTTGGTACATCATTAAATATGGTGTTAGAACAATCTGTTTGTTATCATGTGTGTTCTGTTCTTAAAATAATTAGATTTTCTTCAGTGTCCCTAATTTTCTGTTACCTCTGTAAACAAATATTAATCACTTATAAATTCTCTTGCAGGAAATTTCTGCGTGAAAACTTGTACTATGATGAAGTGTTAGCTGTTAATGTTGCTGGACAAACAGGCTTGTGGGAAATATTACAGTTCCTGGCCAGCTTCCGTGGCCTTCATCCTGAAGTTCTAGATATCCTTACCAAAATTGTTAGATCTCTTGGTGAAGGCCTTGTGAAGGTAACTGAGAGCACGGTTGCAGCTTCTGAGCATTTGCCTGCCTTGGACTGTAAGTTACATAAGTTAAATATTATGCTTACCAGTTTTGTAAATATCTGTTTAGTAACTGTAATACATTTTGCTTGTCTTCTGATATGTGTTATGTCACATTTTTGTGTTTTGTGGGCAAGTATTTGAAGTGGATGCATATGAGGAAGTTATTTCTCTCTCTTCATATATATTGTACTGTAAGCTGTTCAACACATTTTGATGAAGTTTAATATTAGATCTACACCAAAAATTGTTAGGTGAGCTTAATTTTGCTTGATATTTTTACAGTATAAACTTTACTTTTCATGCAGCTGAAATATAAACTTTATCAGTTTTCCCAAAAGTGATTTGTTATCAAAAGATTGTTGTCTGATATAAAATATGGAACTTATTAGGCATACATCTTTTATTCAAAAGGTTTTTATATTAAAATATACTGCCTGAATTCTCGTGGTGCCCTCAGGCCCCCCCCCCCCTCCCCCCACTGATCCTCCCCCCGGTAGCAGGAGACTGTTATAGCGTTCCCCAAATCTCAGTCTTTGTGGCATGGCAGTGCCAACAGAATGTACAAACAAAAATAAGTTCCAACTCTGTATAGTGTGGTATCTGTAGTGTAATTATCTTTGCAACAGTGGGTTTGTATCTATATTAAATGAATGTAAAGGCCATAAATGCATCTGAAATTAGTGAGAATGCATTTTAAGAATATGTGTACTCCAAATTATAGTACAGCTTTCCGTTTTTGTGTTCTTGCAACTTTTTCTTCAGTAAGTCTCTGTTTGTTGCAGCTGGCCTGTGGTTATGTGTGAGTGACCCATCACTACTTCAGTCACTGTTATCTAAACCCCAGCAAGCTAGAATACATCTGCAGTTTATTCGTACCTGCCTGCCTCATTTGGAACAGTTTGCATTGCAGGTAAATATGATACAGTAAAATGAATATTCAGTTGGGTGTTTAACACAAGATGTAACAGTATAAATTCTTGAAATGGCAGGTAAGAAAAACAGTTGTACTTACAGAATAGTCATAGCAGTCGAAAAATTATGAGTTTCCAATTTTCGAGTTCATTATCTTTTTTCCCAGAACATAAGGGGTAGTCAGCAGGCAGAAACTTGACAATTGCGTTTTTGGAATTTGTTGATCATTTGACACCTACATGTTTTGGCATTAAGGAATGTATTTTGTGTTCCATCATAGTCATATTTCAGCTGACATAGGACCCAGTTTAGACACGTTTGAGGGGAACTGGTACCAAATCTTCGTAACAGTTTGGAGTCCTTTGTTTATATCTCATACAGGTCAGAATACATGTAAATTTGTAGTAGTTAAAACTCAGTAATAACAAAGTGATAAGATTGTTATCAATATTATGTTGCACATTGTCCATTATGTGAGGTATATTTGATACACACAACATTTCAGGAATTGGCTGTACTGCCATCATTGTGTGTTTTGATATAATGAGTTTTCTGTTACCTTTATGTGTGCAGAATCAGTTAATATATTTACAAATTCTAACAACTGCAGGGTATCAGAGATAGACTGGTAACATACTATGACATGTCAACTGAAAGACAAGAATAGTGGAGCCGGAAGGGATTGGCTTATTTTGCATTAAAATATTTTTAATGATCATTTTCAGTTGCTGTGGGTGCAGTGGTACTTTTTGGTCATCATAGACATTTCATGATATTTCACTGTAGTTTACGTTCATTTTTAATGTGTTTTTTTTTTTCTTTCTTTCAATTTTGCAGAGATTGGCTGCTCTATATGACCCTTCATCACCACAATTACGACCTAGTCTGACAAGAATGTTCAAGATGGGTCACAGGCAAAAACACTCCAGTGAATCATACAGTTCATGTTCGGCACAGATGGATCCCTTAGACCCTCTGGACTTAATGGTATGTTACTGAAAATTGAAGTTGGTCCATTAAAATATTTAAACTTAATGGGGCTTACAAGACTACTAATTATTGTGGGATGTCACTGCTATCAACTTCATATAAAGTTTTATCCAATATCCTTCTCTCAAAGGATCATCATTGTGGGTTTAAACATAACATCAATTACCGATCAGATTTTTTGCATTCATCAGATACTGGAGAAAAAATGGGAGCACAAGGAGACAGTACATCAACTATTCGTAGACTTGTAGAAAGCCTGTGACTCAGTTAGGAGAGAAGTATTGTGTTCTCAGAGTTTGGGGTACCCATGAAACTAGTTAGGCTGATTAAAATGTATTTAAATTAAACATATAATAATGACTGTGAGGGAAAATATTTGTCGGACAATTTGCCTGTCCAAAATGGCCTAAAACAAGGAGATGCTTTATTGCTGCTGCTCTTCAACTTTGCTTTAGAATATGCCATTAGGAAGGTCCAGGAAACCGGGTGGGACTGAAATTGAATGGGACGCATCAGCTGCTGGTCTATGCTGATGATGTGAATACTCAGTTTTATAAAATAATATAAGCATCTGTTTTATATATATATATATTTTTTTCTTTCTTTTAGGATGAAATATTTGTTCCTGGCGAAGATATTGTCCAGACATTCCTTCTTGTTCTACTGTACTTAGCAAAGAAGCGCCAGGTATCGTCATTTGTATATATCCCAGAGCTGATGGAGAAAATCCAGCTTGCTAAGGATGAGGATGAGGTATTTAACCGTTAAACGACTAAAGACCCCGTACGGGGTCGCACAAGTTTAGTCAGCGGTACGAANGTGCTTATCTGTAATGAATGTAGAACACACTAACCAAACCAACATATCATCATGTATTAGTGACTAGACACAAGGTGTGGGCTGGTTATTGGATATATTGAAAGCTTCTAATTTGTAACTACAAGTGATTATAACAGTCACTGATTTGCATGCTATATAGATCACTATAACTAGAGCACATGCAAATTCTTCTGTTTGCTTACTAGTTGTTACTAGATAGATTCAAACATTTATAGGAAAGTAAGAACAAGTTTTCCCAAGAATATCTTGTTTTCTGTTAATTGTCCTTCCTCCTGGTGCTTTCAGCTGCAATTTTAAAATAATATTTCTTACATGTTTTTTAGGATTCTGAAGACCTATGCCCATCTCTCCCAATACATGCTAGCACTCTGAGTGCAGGTTTTTCTCATGTGGCACTTGTTCGCAATGGAGCTATCTACACATGGGGGAATGCTGTGCAGGGCTGCCTGGGTATGTGAACATTTTATTTTTCCTGATAGTCACAGACCTATAATAGAAAAGTATTGTAGGTCCTAAAAGCTGTGTGTTCCATGTTTATATCTCTTATTAATTTATAACATCTGCCACCCCAACCTTGAGCTCTAGTCATTGTAGATAAAGAGGTAATAATCAAAGGCATATTAAAAAAAAATGTACAGGTATCCCATGTATATTCTTCTGTTCAATCCTGACTTGAGTGAATTTTTCTTTATTGTAATTTCATGCAGGTTTTTTAATTTAGTTCTTTGTACTGAAGGTTGAAGAACTTGTTTATTTAAAGCAAGAAATAAGATACCTTGGAATGGTAAATATTTGAAATCCATGGTACTAAAGTTACATGTTCAATATTAAAGTTAGTTCTTTCAGTGAATACTGAAGGAAGTGACAGTAATGCGTAACAACAATTTTGAGTTATGTAAGATTTGAGGCTTTCACGGCGGTGACTATGAAGAAAGCAGTCTTCTGGGATTTGGTACCATGTATATGTGGTGTTAACCGACGTTTCGGAGGAACGTATCACCTCCATCTTCAGGGTAGAAGAAAAAAATATATGAATTCTGCAAGCGAAGATACCGTGAGAACCAGTAAAAGCAGACAGTCTGCCTTTAACGGTCTCTTCGCTTGCAGAATTTGTATATTTTTTCTTCTACCCTGAAGATGGAGACCGTGAGAACCGGTAANTGAGTTACTTGGTTTTTTTTGGATGTGTCCACTCTTGGGAATGCAACTGTCATGTGAGTTGGGAGGCTACCTATACAGCAGAACGTTCTCTAATCTGGTGAAATATGGAAAATCAAAATGAAAGAAAGTTTCTACGTAGAAATAGTTCTTCCATTTGGCTGTATTCATGTTGCATTTAAATTTTACAAACATTCTTTATAGCTGGAACAAAGTTCTTTCCTTGTTCCTGCAGATTAGATAACTCATTAGTGGTGTCAGCCTCAAAATCCTGTTAAAGCACCGCCTTGATCTAATGTGTTTGTTTGTTATTCTTGGTCACTTGCCTTCACCCCTTGTCTACATTGGCTGCAAGTAATCATTGATGATGATGATGCACTTGAGCTCCCCCACCACACTCACCCACTCACTCGCTCTCTGTGTCTCTTGCTTCCTTCATTCTCTCTGTGGTTTTTCCATTTCTTCCTGTATTTAGTAATCTTTTCATCTCTGTTTTCCAATATTTGAGTTTTTTTCCTGCCTGATCATGTATACTGAGCTAAAGGTCTTATAGTTCTCATCTCTGCTGCTTTTGTCCTTTTCTCTCTGCCTGATACTAAATTATATATACTTACTTCAAACATAAAGATCAATTTGTATAGAGGATTTCAAGTATTTATCTAGTGTACACAAATTACTTCATTGCTTCACGCATTAGAATTTCTTATATGCGTATGCCATGACTTAACAGTTTCTTTTATGTGAAAATAAATGAGTACCAGGAATTAATTAAATAATTTTCCTGGAGAGTAAAGCGCGGCTGACACGTAAGGCTGACAATCTTACCGCCATCTTTGAGCTGATTGTCTAGATAATGTGGGAGCCTCAACGTCTCACAACCCTATGGGCCTTCACGGCCTGGTACAGGGATAGCTTTACTTTTTTTTACTTTACTTAATATAGTATTGGTTCACAGAGAAATCTATTTTTAAGTACTTTGATATATTTATATGAACATTTTGTCAGTTTGAATCCAGAAGAGAAGCCCTTAATATTTTCCACCATTATATAGCAAGGAACAAGATGTTTTATGTGAAGATTAAGCCTTAACCCATGTACAGAATGAGCCAATTGGGTTGGTATGGCATATTTGCATTAAAACTGCCAGAGGTTAGGAGATGGGCTCGGTGTTAATCACTTAGTACAGCATGTCTGTCAGTAAGTATTTAGATGAAAGAACAGGCTTACACACTGTGTATAACTGTGACTGTTAGTAGCCTGAGGAAGTATTGTGGTTTTTTCTGTGCAATTGCGTGTACCCCCACGCAGCATTGACAGTTTAAGCAGGTAGTTCCATGGTGTGACTTAGCAGTCAAAGTGTTAAAACAGATTAGTTAGTGTCCCTTCTCTTTAAGCAGGTACTGTCATGATCCCTTCTTATGCAACCAGGTACTGGACCGACCATGTCTAGATACAGCTGTCCCCAACAGGTCAGCATATTACCAACCTTGAAGCTTGAGGTAATCAGTGTTGCTTGTGGCCGCCAGCATACTCTTTCTCTTACAAACAATGGGGTAAGTGATCAGTTTTTAATTTCAGATGTAACTACCTAATCCAGTGTGGTCTTTTTAAATGATTAAGTGGAAGTATGATGTAACCTTGGTATAATGAGAATTTATAAATTTGTAAAATTGCTCCTTCCAACAGGTTCCGTTAATGTCGAAAAGAGATGAAATATATGATCTTTCAGTTTGTTATGTAACTTTTATTTATGTATCTCACAATATGGCTCTTAGGTTTAAAGAAAATTGATGTGAATATGGCAGTATTTATTTTTTTCTGAATCCTATGTCAAGGAGATGTGAAAATAAAGAGAGTAATTCACCAATATCATGTCTTCAGCATTATCCAGCCCAAGAAGTTAAAGATTTTCTCATGCTTACATAGAATCTTGTATTCACAACAGACCACATATTGGGAGCTCTCTTTTGCAAGCAGAAGTCTTGCTTGAATAGCTGAGTGACTGTTTGTTTCACAAGAAGGACTCTGCTCTGTGGAATTGTTTATTTACAGGGAAGGATAACTGTTCTTCACATCTGATATTTTACTATGAAGATATTCATGAATCAGTAGTTATTGTAGGTGATAAGCAGGGCACATGAGCTGAGTCTGTTATTTTTCATTTGAATCTCAGAGATCCACTCCTGCAGAAAATCTAGTAGTTGAAATATTACTGTCTTCTGGAATGTGACACCTTGTACTGTCGTAGTTAAGTGCCGAAGTTTTGGAGGAATGTTGATACTTCCTTACCACATTACATGGCATCAGAATCAGATGGCTAATCTTAACACCCTACTCATCTCTGTGAGATCTCAGATCACATATAATTGAAACATTGTTTATTGCTCTGTGTTCAGGTATATGCATGGGGGTCATCTCAATATGGTCAGCTTGGCATTGGAAAGACAGGCCAGTGCCCATATCCTCGGATGGTGGAACATCTTTCAAGGGAAAGAATAATAGCTGTATCAGCTGGACAGTACCATTCTATAGCATTGGCAGATGATGGCAGGTCAGGAACATGTTCTTTTCGCTGTAGATTTAATGCCAAGGATATCTTATCGTCATTGTGTTTCTTCCTCCTCCTCATTTCAGCTCATATAATAATCCTCTTGTCCGATCTAACATTATGTAACTACTGTAGTCAATGCAATATCATCAAATAACATACAGATACAGTGAGACCTCCTTTTACTTATTCATATGTGTAACATGTATGAGAAAGTATTGTGCTTCCGAGAACAATTGGTCTTGAGATTTTCATGAATTTACATGTTATGATTTGTCCTGAATACAAAAAGTGTTGTTTGGAATGCTATCTGTCTGCATGTATATGTAGAGAGGGTTGAATAGATGGATGAATGTGCGCTTCACAAATACCTGGATGGTTGGACAGATTTTATTCATCTGTCACAGATTGATGCCCAGTGACTATGAACAATTTAGCTCCATAAGTCAGGATTCTTCAGATGAACCCCCAAATAGAAAATGGTAATTTCCTCAAAACAGCTGTAACTGTTGTGATAAAAGGGCACTAATTTATGCGACCATCTCCAAAAATAATACTGCATAGAAGGTATTGTTACATATACGTGGGTTGTCTTCCCACGAAGACAGATTCTCGGTAAACAGTCCATTGCTAGGTCACGCAACAATAGGACATGTTTATAGCTTGTTGCTAGGCAACAATAAGTGTGCCAATGGACTGGCTAGACAGCTGTCATGTGGCTTGTTTTCAATGCGGTCGGCGCCATGCCCACTGCTAAGCAGCAGAATTGTAAACACATCTACAATAATAGGTGTTTTCTTTGGGGTCCGTGATGAAGGTTTATAGGGGACAGTGAAGGTCGTTGGCAGTCAGTCATAGCTAAGAAGCTGTGAGTCAAGGACACAAAGCTGTCACAGAAGAGAGTCCAGGAAGGTTCAGCAGTTGAGAGTATAAGAATGAGAATGGAGCATGTCCTTAGTGAATTGTGAAGATTAGTTGAGTACAGATTAGGACAGAGGAGCACAGAGTGATTGAAGACAAAATAACAAGAAGATGTCATAGTGATTTGAAGTGCTAGTTTCTGTGTTGAGATACGTTGCTATGAGGTGAATAGGGGAAACTGAGAATCCTAGTGCGTGTGCAACAGTGAACTGGAAATCAGCGATTTACTGATGTTAACTGATGTTAATAATCGAACAGAATTCATTGTAGTTCATTGTTTGGTAACAAACAGTGGTCTACAGAGCGACATTCAAATTCTTGTCAAAGGTGTTGGAGTTAAGTTCAGCCATGTATGAGAAAGTATGTATAGTGTCTTTGTAGTAGTGTTAGAAGTTTCTCTTGGGGACACTGGGTTTGAATGCTAAACTGAGCAGTTATTAATTTAGGATCATCAAATTTGGACCTTAATTTTAAGATCACTAAAAGAAGGTTCATTGTAAATGAGTGTATATTTTGTTCTTTATATGGAGGTGAAGTACGGTTACTGGTGTTACATCATAAGGGGCAGTTATATCTGAACGAATGATAGCAAAGTAATTCTATTTCATGAAAGTTAATTAGTAGAGGAAAAATTAATATTTTACCTGAGTTTCTGAAGATTTATTTTGTGGACTATTTCACGACATTGTCAGTAGCTAGATTGTTTGTTAAGTTCCATTCTGTCATTTGTATGAAATTCATTAAAAACTGTTGTATTTTGACAGGGTGTTTACATGGGGGTGGGGTGTACATGGACAACTGGGTCATCATTCAGTGGAAGACTACTATACACCAACCCTTGTAGAGGGACTAATAGGCAAGGTAAGTATTTTTTATGAATTCTGATGTGAGAATATACAAGAAAGGAAGGGTAATGAGCAGTATTGTGTTCAAATCTCAAATAGATTTGCAGCTTTGGAAAACTTAGACACTGAGGTGAACATGAATAAACCTTGGGAAACTATTAGTGAGAATAACAAAATTTCTGCCAAAGAGAGTCTAGGTAATTATGAATTGAAGCAACATAAGTCATGGTTCCGTGAAGGATGCTCAAAATCATTAGATCAAAGGAAATCAGCCAAATTGTAGTGGTTACAGAATTGAAGCAAAATAAATTGAGATAATCTGAACAATATAAGATATGAAACCCGCAGGCATTTAAAAAAAAAGAAGAAATATCTGAAAGACAAAATTGATGAGTTTGCAACAAACAGTAAGAACAAGAACATCAGAGACGTCTATAAAGGAATGAATGACTTTAAGAGGGGTTACCAATGTAGAAGTAACTTAGTGAAGGATGAGAATGGTTATCTGCTTGCAGATTCCCACAATATCATGAATAGGTTGAAGAACTACTTCTCTCAGTTATTGAATCTGGTCAGTGATGTTAGGCAGATAGAAATATATACAGCTGAGCCGTTAGTACCTGATCCTAGCCCTTTTGAGGCTGAAATTGCTTCTGCAAAGTTGAAAAGTTATAAATTGCCAGGTAGTAATCAAATTCCAGCAGAACTAATTCAAGGAGGAAGTGAAATATTACGTTCTAAGATCCATAAGCAAATTAATTCTATTTGGAATAAGGAGAAATCGCCTGATCAGTGGAAGGAGTCTATTATTGTATCAGTGTTTAAGAAGGGTGATAAAATTAACTGAAGTATTGATCTGTTTACACAGTTTTTCTGTATTATTTGGCTAGGAGGAGGTCAAAGAAGCTCTTCTTATTGGCTCTTGGCACAAGCTGCATATAGTGAAACCCCCATATTTTTTTCTTTGGTACAATGGATTTAAGGACTGAATTGAGGAAAATCTTGAATGGAGGAAGTTTAAAACTGAGAGTATTGACTAGGGATGACTGAAATTGAATTTTAAATTGAAGAAAGTTAAATGGATGTTCCACCATAAAATTGGAAGTTTGTGTTAGACTGCATATCTTGCTTCTGAACCTGTTGATTAGATTACCATGATCTTTGTTATTTAGAGGCTAGATGAACACTTCTTGGCTGAATTTAATTTTATTTCATATTGGACTAATATAGACACTACTACATAAGAAGCCCAAGTCAAACTGTAGTGCTGCATAAGAAAATTAATGACATAAAATATGAATTTCCTGAAGACATACAACTTTTATCTGAAAGTTCTTCAATGTGGATAATAATAAAAAAAAAGTGAAGCTGTTCCTGGAACAGGCTGTGAAGGCCCATGTAGTTGTGAGACTTTGATGCTCCCACATCTTCTAGAAGTTGGCTCACAGATCTTGTTAAAGTTGTAAGACTTATGCACAGGCAGCCCTTTACCCCGCTGACCCAGGAAGATTCCTGGTACTCATTTCTGTTAGAGGCTGAGTTGACCCCAGGGCAATAGAGCAGCTGCAAGGATAAGCCAAATTGAAAAAATCTGATGACCTCATCAGGAATCAAACCTGCTACTTTCCAGCTTGCAGCATAATGGCTGAACCAGCCATGCTACAATGTGGATAAAGAAATGCAAGAAGTAATAGTTTCTGAATCTATGCAATATGATATTTATAGCAGCATTTGTGGTAATTGCATTAGCTTTCAAACAGTGGATTTGTACCTGCAGTAATAAATCTGTCATCAGCAAACAGTCATGAAGCCAGTAAGATATGAAGGCTGTGAAGGAATGTATTCGGAAAATACGTGCTCTAAATTTGAGTATACCTTTCAGCTTCCTTTTACTGTTTTTGTAACATAACAGTTTAGCAGGCAAATTGTAATTATTTTTTGGTGTATGCTGTTGTCTGTAAGGAATTCACTAGCTTGGGAATTGAAGATTTCATGAACTTAGAAAATAATCAGGGCACTCTGTAATATCAGAAGTGAAATATTGTGCATTCTTTAAATCAGAAGGAGGAAGCAGCATGTACCTCTGAAATTCTGGCACACTGCCCACGTTCACATGGTGCAAATAGCAGAGGGAAGAATTATTATTAACTATGCATTCTGAAACCAACAGTCGTCCATATAAATAACACCGTTATTCCTAGCAAAGAAGAAGTTAAATACCTCGGAATGCATCTAGACTGCAAAATGACGTGGAAATGCCACATAACAAAAAAACGTAAACAAATAGATTTACTGACCAAGCAGATGTCCTGGCTTTTAGGCAGAAGATCAAAACTATCCCTCGAAAATATACAAAACAGTAATTATACCAATTTGGACTTACGGCATTGAACTCTGGGGATGTGCCAGTAAGTCCAACATCAATATTATCCAAAGATCACAATCGAAAATCCTAAGGATGTTAGTCAATGCACCTTGGTATGTGTCAAACAAAACCCTACATCAAGACTTGAACTTAAAATTCGTGAAAGAAATCATCCTGGACAGAAGCCGCCAACACATGAGCAAAATTGAAACCCACGAGAATGAACTATTGCAACCACTCAGGGAGCCAATCAACAATAGAAGACTAAAAAGGAAATGGCCAAATGACCTGATATAAAACAAATCAACTTCTGAAGAGGTAATGTCGATGGACATTTTCCTCGCATGACATGTAACAGTCCTTAGCGAAACCATTAACCTATAGAATGTACGTAATTCTGATTGTTAATAAATAATAAACAAAAAAAAAAAACTATGCATTCTCTATTACAGTCTTCTCTTTTATTTGCACACACTGATAAGTTAGTATTTTTTGATGTCATGGCAGGTGGTGACTCAGATATGTGGAGGGCATGGCCACACTGTTGCTCTTACTGCTGAAGGCAAGGTATATACATTTGGTTCATCTGTATTTGGTCAACTTGGAAATGGGAGCAACATGAAGAGCTCTGTACCTGTTCATGTGACTGCACTAACAGAAAGGATCACTATTATTGCCACTAACTATTTTCACAATGTGAGTATTCAAGTGACAGTGTAAAAAATATTTTATACGAAGCCTCTGGTGGTGATTACTGACAAACTGGATTTGATGTAAACCCTTGCACCAAGTTGTTTTTGATAGAACTTGGTGTTAGTTTTATGAATCAAGAGTCAGATAAATCCTGTATCCAAGTATGCAGCACTTTCACTGTGATGAGTTTGCGAACTTATTGTCAGACCACGTACTGTATAAAAATTTTCAGTTTCCCACAAGAAAAAATATTCAGCAGCTAGCACTGTCTCCTTCAATCACCAGGGTCTTTCTTTCTGTGGTTTTCCTATCTTCAGTGCTTGGAGGATGGCAGTGAAAGGCTGCTACTTCCAACTGCACAGTGAAGTACAGCAGGCTCAGGCTGTATGCTACTAATTTACCAAGAGACTGCGGAATTCTGTCAGAAAAACACCCAGTGCTTAACCCGTTACCGTGGTTCGACGTGTATGTTTCGTCAGGGATTTAAATCGTCTGGGGGGGTTCGACGTGTATGTTTCGTCCAGCTGCACACGTATGTTATAACGCCCATAATAATTGATGGTTTTGCTGTAGATTGTTAGATTTTTCACTGGCCTGTTGTCAGGAGGACTGTATTTAATGACACACGCGTTTAAGAGCGCTAAGTCGTCGTTACATATGCCTGTCTTGCAGCAACNCCCAGGATTGAACCTGGGCCACTCCGGTGGAAAGCCAGTGACCAACCACTTGAACTATGGCGCGGCCCTTAATTATGATAACTTAGTGTGACCGGGTCTAATGCATCTCTGATAATTGTCATGAAGTGAGTTTTTGTTCAATATCCCTTATAAATATTGAATTTACCTGCAGTGTTTTACTTGATTGTCTTAAGGTCATCTTTCTCCACTGAAGTTCTGTTGGATGATTTGTTTCCCCATTCAGGCTACATGCTCAGCCTCTCATAACTTCTTCACCTTGACTGCACTGACAGTAATGTGAGAGCTTTAGGGCCACGCCTTAGCTCAAGCGGTTAGTCGCTGGCTTCCCACCACGGCAGCCCGGGTTCGATCCCGTGTCTGGTCAAGTGAGATTTGTGGTGGACAGAGTGGCGGTGGGGCAGGTTTTCTCCGAGTACTTCAGTTTCCCCTGCCAATCTTCATTCCACCAATTGCTCCACAGTCACCCTCACCTATCAACTGGGGCTGGTAAAATAGGCCAGAAGTGGCCGCAGTACAAGGGACTTGTTAGTCCCACCCCACTAGCAATAAAAAAAATGTGAGAGCCATGTGAATTACAAAGTTTCTCATAAAATAATATCTTCCATTCACCACTCATCTCTGCTTTTCTTAGGTTAGGCCCAGATGCTTTCCTGAGCACTTTGTTTTTAGACACTTGTAATTTATGTTCCTGTTTCATATCATCATAGGCATTTCAAAGTTAATTATAAATATATTGTTTATTGTAAATACAAGTTGAAGTTTTTAGTAAACACTTAAATCTGCCGTTACCATTATGTTTAATATCTTTTATACCATGCTTCATCTTACATATTTAGATGCTTCTGTCACTTGAAGAATGGCAGTGCAATGGTAGAATCCAAGTAATATTAAATATGAATGGTAGACAACAGTGTAGTGTCCAACCTTGACTGGATATTTGTTGTGAGGTTGCATGGTGCCTATTTGTGCACAGTTTGGTGTAACCCTTATAATTTTACATGACCTGGTGGAAAGTCTACATATGACAAAGACCATCTTAATTATTCTTCATGGTATGTTGCTCATATCTAACATTCTAGCATTCCTTAGTGATACAGGGATTACCAAATCCAGTTAAATGGCATAATTTTATGTTATTTTAAAGAAGTCCATGTGGTTGTGTCGTTTTATATATATTTTCCTTTTATGGCCTCAGTTACAGGGGCATGTGCATCCTGGCATATTGTTATCCCTTTTTAAGTTACTCTTCTTCGTTTCGTTTTGTGGTTACCCCACCCACACACACACACACACACACATAAAATTAAAGCTCAATTTTTTGTCACAAGAATAATGTTCAGTGTATTACATTCAAATATTGTTTCAATGTCTGTATTGGAATTTGTCATAAGTCTTGTTTGTAATTATTCTTTCTTTATTTGCAGTTAGCTGTAAGTAGCACAAATAAAGTGTATATATGGGGGTCATCTCCGCAAGTCCTGCGACTTCAAGCACAAGCCCAGAAGAGATCAAGGCATCTTCAGCAGCAGCTGTTATCCAGTGTTACCCCATTGTCTCCTTCGAAGCCAGTAACTGCACAAGTACATTCTGCGTTGAACAAGAATTCAGAAATTTCAGATCCACTGTTAGAATCTCCCATTTCAGGCACTGCAGCTAAACCTGATCATGATGCTATCAAAATACATAAGGATCATCAAGAATCCAATTCAACACATCACAGCCCTATTGACACAGAATATTCAGATCTGAACCTTAAGCCAGTTTTGATTTGTGATTCTCAGTTGCCTTCAGTGGACATATCTCATTCTTCAAGTTCAGATCTCTTCAAGAGCCAAGACCTTTCAGTTGAAGCCAGTGTGAATAAGAAAGACAGTGTACCTAGTCATTCTGAACTGCCATCATCTGTACTAAATACAGGCTCAAATAGTACCTCTTTCATACCTAAATCTCTCCTGAAGTCAGTAAAGTGCCATAAGTTTTCAACAGAGAACAGTAGTGATACATCAGAAGTAAGTAATGGAAGACCTGTAAATAATCAGAAACAGTTTAGACAGAGTGGTCACAAATTGCCATTACCAAAAGGCGGAAGGATGTGTGATGTGCAAGTGATACAAAATTCAGATTCTGATGAGTGTATGCAGAAATCACAGTCAAGTTTTCTTGGTTCAGATGAAAAGCAAGAAGACTCTCATTCATCAAGTGAGCTTAATGGAACCTCGTGGAATAAGAACAATTTGCATCCATCTCCTTTTCTAAGTCAAGATGTCTCTAGAAGCAATGCACAGCCCTCTTCAAGCTCATTATTTTCGGACTTTGAGAATGCTAATGTGGACACTTCATCAAGGGATTTGCAACTACCGGGTAGCTCATTTGCATCGAGACAAATGGATCAGAATTTGGACCTGAAGGTATGTTTTGTTGTTTTACTTTCCGTTCTGAAATAGATTATTTTCCATCTTAAACATTAGTGTTACTGGCATATACTTTTGTATTGTTTGCATAAGTAACATTTGATAAACATACCAATTCAACAGTTTTTCTTGAGAATACTGGTTAGAATTGTTATACCCTTATTAACTCTATGATGAAGAAATTTCTATTAAACAATAATTAAAAGTTTTTACCTCACAGTATACATACTGCATCTCCATTACAAAGACCAATGAATTAATGTTGTTTAGGGATATTATTCCTGTTTATTCTGAGAATCATACAGAGTGAATAAGTACAGTCCATGGGTAAGTAGTAACCACTGTACTTCGAACGGTTAGTTGGTACGAAGCAAATGAAGAAAGAGGTAAAATCCTCACCTTTAACTAGCTAATGCCATGCAGCTGAGTCCTTCTTGTAAAGGTAGTACTAGTGGCTCAGCTGCTCAAGATATTCCCAGTGTTTAATACCACCTGAAGGTTCATCAACTTGTTCACAGGAGCCCTGCCTCTGGTTCCTGGCCTGAGCCATATGAATCCAGTTCACACCATATAAATGTTATAATTTGTGACAGTCATCCAGTTACAGTGTTTCTAGATCTGCAGAATGAAACACAGGTGAAGAAGTCTCATTACTTTGAAGTTCAAGGGGCTGCTGCTGTTTTGATTGTACATAAAATTTTTGTTCCATGACCAGTCCCCAAGAGCAGCATACACACACAGCAGTTTGAACTGTTGAGGTTGGTGTTTTCTATTCAGTCCACAACAAAGCAATGTGCAGAAAACCGACAGGCTAGTCAGAGTCCCTGTTATCAGTAGTATAAAGACTAGCAGTATGTCTGTGATGTCAGAACCAGCAACCAACAGTGATGTAATAGGTTACAGAATTATAGCAAATATTTATATGTATATGTAATAATTTGTAAATTACATAAGCCAGTGTCCATTAAATATAATTACCAGTCTAAACCCTGTCTAGTAACTATTATGTGACAATATGTTCTTTTTCATTATGACCATTTTTATGCCCTGGAATATAGAAGTCAGTGTATCTATTCATTTATTTATAGTTCCAAAAAATCCATGGAGGCATCTGCCTCAGATATAGAACAAGTCAGTAATACAATATAACATATAAATATACATACATAATCAGATAGTCATCATTGTCAAAATTTAAATACTCGATACAACAAAACTACTGTACAGCAATACATTCCATATATCAAAATAACATTTAAAATTACATATACAATCAAAGACCACCAAGATCCTTAATATAGTAATATAAAATCTATTTTCTTAATATATAATACACCTGTATCATAACAGTAAGAGCACCTTTTTCCTGAGTATTTATTCCATAGTCCATTGCATTCTAGCAATAGGCAACAGTGTTCATTTAAATATACATTTTATTCATACATTCATTCATTTATTACAGTTAAAGAATCCACAAAGGGGTCTGCTTCAAATATAGAAGAAGTCAGCAGCGCAATATAACACATAAATATACATGCATAATCAGATAGTCATCATCATCAAAATTTGAAATACAGTACAACAAAACTCCTGTACAACAATACATTCCATATATCAAAATAACATTTAAAATTACATACATGATTAAAAGACCGCCAAGACTCTTTAATATACAGTAAAACTTGGTTATAGCGACATCAGTTTCTGCGACACCTTGTCTATTGCGTCAAATATTCAATGGTACGAACTAATTCCTCATAAAGCAACCGTTTTATACCTTGCTTAGTACGACATGCACAAATGCATCAACCTCGTATGTAACGTCATTTTCATTCCTGAATTTCTCTGATATGGACATTGAACGTAATTTAGAAAGTGTGTATTGGGCAAGTAACAGGAAACAGATGAAGATAACTGATTACTGTACTCGTATCTAGGTACAGTAAGGCACAACA